ATTTTTAATTAAATTGGGTTTAATTTTAAATATCATTAGTGCCTTATTTTGAATGTTATGATACTTTATCCTTAGTGGTTGGATTAGGTCTTCCCGTGGGTTATGATTGCGATACCTACAGTAGCACAATTACCCCTGTCATCTCTTGACGTGACCACCCCTTTTCCGAGTCTTCAATTATATTTTACTTTAAGCTAGTACTTATAAGTTTGGGTCATACCAAAAATGTAAATAATGAATAATGCTATGTAATTCGGGTGTATTAACATTGATCTATGTGATAATCCGTGACAATAAAAGATAAGTTCAATTAAATGTGAATCTATGAGACCAGACATAGCTACGAAACATCATATGGGCTACATAGCATAAATTGAATGTAACTCGTGAATATTTGAGATGAAACTTTCACCCCTCAAGTCAAGAACCAAACCCCGGATGAGTGTTGTTTATCATTTTCAAGAAATTCTCCGGCTCTATCCATCCATTTAGTGTCTAGCAATTTTCAATTAACCATTTTGATGCATCATTGACGAACCGCAAGAAGTGATAGCTGCTATAAGAAATGAATATTCTAAAGTATTCGATTCTAAAAGAATTTAAAGCTACCTGAGCAGCTCTCACGTTAGTCCCAAGATGTTGATCTCTCGTGAATATTTGAGATGAAACTTTCACTCCTCAAGTCAATAACCAAACCACGGATGAGTGTTATTCATCATTTTCAAGAAATTCTCCAGCTCTATCTATCCATTTAGCGTCTAGCAATTTTCAATTAACCATTTTGATGCACCATTGACGAACCGCAAGAAGCGATAGCTGCTACAAGAAATGAATATTCTAAAGTATTCGATTTTAAAAGAATTTGAAGCTACCTTGAGCAGTTCTCACGTTATTCCCATGATGTTGATCACTCATGGAATGTGTAGATAAAAAAATGTATTTGATCAATTGCGGGACATGCTCTAAATTGGATCCAATGTACTATAAACTTGCACAATCTATGCTGCGTTGACAGGAAGGTTAAGGATAAGATGATAACAGGAAAATCAAACATATATTGTGGGCAACACATATCCTTTTCATGGAATTGTTCTTTTTATTACTTATTTTCAAGAATTAATGTTACTATGCCTGTTCTTAAGCCAACAGGTTCCATACTTACTTACCTAATAAATGTTCTGTTGTTGTAATTTGTTTGGAAGAAAACATCTATATCGACCAAATTTACGTCTTCTAAGCATTCGGAAATAATTAATTAATTGTTCGAAGAAAAAGCTTGACTAAACATAATATTTAAACTTATTTAAATTCTTTTACTGTGAGAGGGTGACGAGGGTTTGTTTGTCCGTAAGTGAGTCAAAAGATGCTGAAATGAGAGAGAGAGATAGAGAGCTGGGGCAATGACGTATAGGCGGTGGACCCAATCCTTCACCTCATATGGACACACTATGGAGCGTGGGCTCAGCCTGAAAGAGCTGCTGCACCCCCACTTTTCCCCCCTTCTGTTGCCTCTCTCTCTCTTTCTCTATCTCTCTCTCTCTCTACTTGTTTTTGTGTTTTTGATTATTGAAGATGAGAAAAATCAATGAAGGACAAAGAGGGGAAAAAGAAATAAATGTTGTGGATATGTGTGTGTTTGTGAGGGCTTGACACCAAGGCATATAGATGAACCTGAGTACAGCATCTTTTTCAAAAACTTCATTTCATTTAAGGCAAAATGCTTGACACCAAGGCATATAGATGAACCTGAGTACAGCATCTTTTTCTATAACTTCATTTCATTTAAGGCAAAGCAAGATAGCTTTTATCTCTAACCAACCATGGGTTGATATATAGGTCTCTCTATACATACCAGTTTCTTTCTTTTTCTTCGTATGTGTTGTTTTGATTTTGATGCTTTTATACATAGTTGAGATCATATGTCTTTTCATTAATTTGCATAGCTAGGAGTTTGAGAAGAAGAAGAAGAAGTTGTTTTTGAATTCTGAGATAAGATTTAGAAGGTTCTCAAGTTGCATGTGGAGTTGCTAATTTGTGGGCTGCAGAGATTTCCAATTGAATATCGACGGCTCTGATTAATTAGCACTCGGTGAAGAAGACGATAAGATAAAGGGATTGGATTCAATGGCAGCTTCTTCATCAGCAGCATCTTTTCTTGCAATGAGAGACCAAGATCAGAATCAAATGAAACTACAACATTCTTCAGCGCCATCTTCATCAACCGCTCCACCGCAGAAGAAAAGAAAAAATCAGCCTGGAACATCAAGCAAGTACCAAACACTTGAATTCAATTCTCCTTAATTGTCTGATAGCTTTCATTTTTCATTTCAAGAAAACCCTAAATTTGAAAAGTTTGGATGTTATTTTTTTAATTGTGGTTTTAATGAATTTGATGACAGATCTAGATGCAGAGGTGATAGCACTATCTCCCAAGACCCTGATGGCTACAAACAGGTTTGTTTGTGAGGTATGCAACAAAGGGTTTCAAAGAGAGCAAAACCTTCAACTGCACAGAAGAGGACACAATCTGCCTTGGAAACTAAAGCAGAAGACAACAAAAGAGGTTAAGCGTAAGGTGTATTTGTGTCCAGAGCCCACATGTGTACACCATGACCCTTCAAGAGCACTTGGAGACCTCACTGGCATTAAGAAGCATTTCTCAAGAAAACATGGTGAGAAGAAGTACAAGTGTGAAAAGTGCTCTAAGAAATATGCTGTGCATTCTGATTGGAAAGCTCACACAAAAACCTGTGGTACTAGGGAGTATAGATGTGACTGTGGCACTCTTTTCTCAAGGTAAAAGTAATACTAATCGAATCAATCTGGGTTTTCTACCTAATTTAATTCTTTACACTAATAATTATTTGTTGGATGTTTCAATTTCATTCAAGAAGATGCTATATAAGTGAGCCTGGAGTACACAGATGTAGAGTTAGAGAGAGAGAGAGAGAGGGAAGTGTTGAAACAGTGCCTTCTTCGGTAATAGGGTTTTTGATTATTTCAAGTAAAAAGTCTTTTTAATCAGTTACAGATTCTCATGAAAATGGTCCTTTTTTTCTCTCTCTGTATACAGTTTTGGTTGATTTTTGAGTTGTATTTTGATTTTCTCTTGTTTGGATGAAAAAAATAACTTCACGTGATTTTATCTTTGGAAGAAACTCCATGGTCGCCCTAGAAGCTTTCGAAAAAAACACATGTATATGTCTCCACCTTGCTGTCTGGGGACAACCATCCTTTGTCCCATTGCAGTTTTAATTTTTTCCTGATTCAGTAAGTAAAAGTTTAATCTTTACCAGCTTTGTTCTCTTCTGGGTTGGCTAGATTCTTTCAGGTTTGTACTCTTGTAGATGCCCCTTCTCGTGATAACACTTTGAGACTCCAAAATCCAATTCATTCACCCTCTCTCTTACATACACACACAGTGACATTACATGGAGCTGTTTTTTCCTGTACTTAGAGCATCTCTAACGCAACAATGTGGATTGTCGTACCATGTAAGCATTTTAGGCTGGTATGACAAACTTTATAGTCCCGTTTTGGAGATGCACTTTCAATTCTACACCTTAAAGATTTGTAGGAACTGCTCATTCACATTAAATGACTGCTTGATTGATAATTTTTACCATATTTTTCGATTACTCTTAGTTGTATTTATTTTACAAGAAGTCTTCTTATGGTAGGTCATAATTTGTTGATTGATCAATCATTAAAGAATTTTTAAAATCATCTTTCAATCTCATTTTTAATTCCCCTAGGTATTTCTGAAAGTTCAAACAATTATTCTACCAACTATATTCTATAAGGATTCTCTGGTTCAAGACTACTGAACAAAACAATGTTATTTTTTATTAGAAATTAATTATCGGTTTGAATGAAAAAAGAAAAAAATCTTTGTCTACTTCTTGTTTCTTAGTGAACCCTAACTAATTTACTGTTTAGATGAAGAAGTGGCTCTTGGATATGCTAAAGAACGGATGAAAAATAACTACAATTAGACGTTCCTAGTTGTTTAATTACATATATCCCTATTAGCTCTTGCATTTCGTCTAGTTTAAGGATTTTTTTTTGTTTTAACTATGTATATGTTCATTGCAGGCGTGACAGTTTCATCACTCATAGGGCTTTCTGTGATGCACTTGCTCAAGAGAGTGCAAGAAATCTTAATCCAACCTCCTTAAGAAGCATCGGCAGCCATTTATTTGGCAGTAGCAACATGAGCTTAGGCATCTCCGAAATGTCCAGTGGACAAGATCAAAACCAGCAGCAGGCATCAGCTGATTTACTACACTTGGGCAGTGGGAGATCTGGCCAATTTGATACCCTCATCGGCTCGACCTTTCAGCCCTCGCAGTCGCAGACGCTGCCTTCTTCAGCTCTCTTCCAGCCCGAATCGAACAATGATAATCAATCTTCACATGGGCTGCTGTTGAACAAGTCACTTCATGGCCTAATGCAACTCTCTGAACTTCAGAAAAATCCCAACACATCTTCGTCATCAACCGCCAGTCTGTTCAATCTCAGCTTCTTTTCAAACACTAGTGGGATCGACAATAACAACAGCATTGGCAACAGTAATAACAGCAGCAACATATCTTCATCCTTATTGTTTCCAAATCAGTTCAATAATGGACATTCCAGTGGTAGTGGAGGCGGAGAAGGATCAAACCTTTTCTCTGCAGGTAATCTCTTGAATACTGATCATTTGAGTGCTGCTATCCCTTCCCTCTACAGCACATCCCTTCAAAGCCATTCAATCAGTACAACACAGATGTCTGCAACTGCACTTCTTCAGAAGGCTGCTCAACTCGGTTCGACAACTAGCAACACCAGTGCTTCACTCCTCAAAAGCTTCGGCACCTCATCCTCCAGCGGCACAAAAAATGATCATCCTTTTAATTCAGCGACCAACTTTGGAATGGTCTTTGGGGAGAATAATGGGAATCATTTCAATGACTTAATGAATTCCATCACCGATGGAAACTCATCCATTTTCGGAGGCGGATCAGGAGGGGTGAATACTCATCCATATGGTGGTAATGCACAAGAGAATGAGTATGGAGGATACAGCACCAATAAACTAAGCTTTGAGCAGCCATTGCAGAAACACCACAGTCCAAGTTTCAGCAACATGGAGCAAGGTAGTTTGACAAGAGATTTTCTTGGAGTTGGGCTTGTTAGGGAGATGGTAAGAAATGTAAGCGGTGGATTTGGGCAGAGAGAACAGCAACATGGAATGGATTTGAGCTCATTGGATTCAGAAAAAAAGACTGCGCAGAAAAGCCAACCTTTTGGAGGCGGGCATTTTCAATAAAGAGAAATATATGAACAAGAGAAAGCATGAAAGTACAGGTGCGTCAATTAATTTGCATTTTGCTACATTGAATTTCAGTATTAAAAAAAGAAGAAGAAGAAGAAGAATTGGAATCTATTTCACTTGAATCTTAACTTTTTGTTTTTGTCAGTCTTATTTGGAGATAGTCTGTTGTTTTCTTGAGTGTTTTTGCATTGTAGTTCTTATTAGCTAATAACAACATTGGATACCATGTTTGTTTTGGAATTATGTCAATGTTTGGTGGAAATTAAAATCAGGTTTTTAATATATTTTGATAAAAATTGATGAAATACGTGGTTGAAAAATTGTAAGTTCGATAAAATATTATGTTAAAATTAATTGTTGAATTTGATTTAAATTAAAATTTTAATTTTAATTCGTACCAAACATGGATTATGCCTCTGTTTGATCCACATTATTTTTTTCATTCTCATTGTTCTACTCATTTTTCAATAAAATAATATTTTCCATCATATCAATAACTTTTCCTTCTTTTGCAACCACACATTCTCCATCAATCTACTATTTCAGAATACATTCTTCCAAAATAATGTGGCTCAAACACACTTAAACTTTTTGCTAGTTTCGTACATTTTAATAAGGAATGAAATTAGCTCATATTTGGTTCCAATTTTTTTTTTTTTTCAAACTTTTCAATTATACCCTTCTCGATTTTGAGGAAGAGTAATTTAAGTCTTTCTGGTTTAATCAAAGACCTAGAAGTCAAAATAGAAAATTTATTTTTCGGCTTTGAATATATACAAATCGAAATTAATTATATTATGCCAAAAGCCGTATTCGATGAAAATTGTATGTACACCTCGAATCGAGTCTTTTATATATTTCGAGATTGTATGTACGGCTTGAATCCCTTTATTAAGAAATATAAATAATAAATGAATATTTCATATTTTCTTGAACACTAGTATGATTCACTATTCAAAACTTTACTTTTGCCAAATAATGGGCCATCAAACTAGGGTTAATAACAAAGTTTGAGATGATATGAGTAAGCTAATATCTATAATTAAGATAATGTTAAAGGGTGTTGTAGAATTTTTGAAAAAACATTAGGGGCTCTTGATGTAATTATTCCTTTTCTCCCATCCCATTATTTCCTTTCATTTTGATGTAATTATTCCTGTCTTTACCTGAATTCAGTGCATTATCCTGTACAAGTCACGGGTGCCGTGTTTTTTGGGACTCATTAGATTATTTGGCATATTTTCACGGCCGTGCAATATTCGATACACATTCTTTGATATTATTGTTATTTTTCCAAATTTATTTTCAATTATATATTTTTCAGTAAGATAATTGTACACGTGGATTCAGAACATTTTCTACTTTGCAACGACACGTTCTCTAAAAATATCATTTTCGAAGAATTTAATGTTAAAAAATCTACATGAAACATGTCCGAGATTACGTCTGGTTAGATGTTTTATTTCGTATGAAATTTAGCACTTATTTAGTTTAGTTAAAAATAAAATTTTTAATACATTTTATAAAAGTCGATGAAATATATGGTGGTAAAGTTGAGGATCCCATAAATACGTGATTAAAATTAATTATCGATTTCGACTTAAATTTTTATCAATTTTTTCAACTAAGCCAAACATAGACTTATTCTTAGAAAAATTAGTGTCTAAAAGCTGCTTGTGATTACCGCAGGAATTTCGACTTTGTTCAAGAGGATGCTTGCTTTGTTGATGGAGCCGATCCAACTTTGAAGAAGTAAATGTTTTGGTCATCAAGATATATATTGATAGACAAGTAGATGGAACATCGTGATTATCATAAACTTAGCGGACAACTTGTTTATGTATAACTTTTGTGCGACTTGTTTTGTGTTTTCTTAAATTTTCAGACAAATAGACAAGGGAGGAATTAACTTCTAAAAGAAATGTTTTGTTTTTGTTTTTGATTTTGCTTTTGCTTTGAATCATAAAAATTCATGATTTCTTGTTCAAAATTCTAATTGTACAAGTAAAAAACTGAAATGTAGCTGAGAATTAAGGAAAATGATACTTTAAATTTCTTATAACCTGTTGAAAATATATGATGTGATGTTGAAAATTTGAAAATTTTAATTTTTGTACATACATGATTATAAATAAAAAGTTTGGCCATAGGAGTTTTTACCAAAATTTGTCCTTTTTAAAACCTGAATAAATCCCATTGCTTTAATTTTCAAATAAATCTCAGCTTTCATCAGAAACACTTGTTTCTCTCACTATAAAGCTTGATGAAAATAACTATTTGATAGAATTATACGAACAAATTATTCTAGATAAATTGCATTCGTGTTCAATTCAGGGGAGCAATTGCACGAATTTCTATCTTAGAACGATGATTAATCTCTTGGATAGGTGATTTTGTTGTTGCTTGTTTGTGCTTGAATTTTAGATTGGTGAGATTGTTCGTTGTTGTTTTGCTGAAAAATCTACTAGGACAATAACAAGAGGAAAACGAAGAAATAGGCAGAAATCACAATGCTGCGATATACGAAATCAGGTTAAGACAATTTTTTCTCTATAATGGCGTTAATATAATTTTATAAACGTTTAGCTTCCAAAATACAAAGTTTCTTCCAAAATTTGTATAACACAATATGACAATATTAACTTGTCAGGTAAACCAACCTTGATTGTTCTTCTCAACTAGAATTATTTGAGTTCTCGAAAAATTGAAAACTAAAAATTAAATTCACGTATTATAAGGTGGAATTGGGGATATAGAAGGATTTAGTAATCGATATACTGAAATTGACTTGTAGTGATAAAAATGGGATATATTGTTTTAATGTGTTTATTTTGAATTTATGCATTATTTGACATGAATCAATTTAGATCTTTAGATCACATCGTTTCAAATTTGAATATGTCCTATGGTCTATAGCTCACCCTATAACGATAATTAATGACCCTTAACATGATTTTTTTCAGTACAAAATATCTTATCCAAAAAATTAATTGCACCAAAATCTATTGTACAAAAATCTCTAGAAAATAGGAGCTTCATTTTCAAAATAAGAGCTTAATGTGAGTGAGGGTAGCAAAGAGAGGGTAAAAAAAAATACAGCTCAAATTTCAAACAAATACAAAATTGTATTGTTTTAAAGGTGCTAAATGGTGTGCCAATAAACTATGGAAGAAGCATGATGAAAAAGAAACAAATAATAAATACATATACTTTACTAACCTATATCTTAAGTTGTAGAGATACCTTGTATATATGTTACTATTTACTTGATGAACAATAAATAAAGCAAAGCGCTTATACTTTGTCTAGTGCTCATATGTAATGCTCTGTCATCTAAAACGTGGCGAACAAGTATTTTATATCCGACTAGAATCTAATTTTTAGGAGTTTTGTAGAATTTGAACATTTAATCATATTTAAATAATCCGTTGAAAATGCAATTTCAATAAATGCTCATTGGCATATCCCGTCGTTGAAACTTCTGTTTTTCAATTTTATCATTTATTTGGTTCGGAAATTTTATGTCATAGGATTATGTCATGACTATTATAAGAGTAACGAAAAACACCTACAACTCTTGTTTAGGGATCCTGCCTAATTTCTATTAAGCCTCCATTTGGCGGGGAGTAATAGATTTTTAATGGATATTGATGAAAGTTAATGAACTGTATGATTGAAAAGTTATGATCAATTAAATATGTGGTTAAAATTAATTGTTCATAGAGCCATCGTATTTTGAATGTAAAATGAGATTTTGTTTTTGGACTCATAAATTTTGTTACTTAAAGTTTAAGGATCTTTTGCAAACAAAATGTATACTTTTAGGGACCAACTAGGTCTTTTTACTTGTTTAAAATATAATAACAAAGATTTTCCACTTTTATTCTTAGGGTGATGTCATAACTGATTTCGGAAATTACTTAGCCCCTGTTTGTCTTCTATTTTTTTTAAAAAAAAAAATTTCTATATAATAATTTTTAATAACATATTTATACAATAAAATATTTTACATATAAATCCAAATTTTTTCCTATATTTTAACCACATATTTTTTCAAAAATTAACTATTCAAAACAATTGTATTTTTTCGTAAAAATGGCCAACAAACAGAGCCTTAAAAACAAAATCCTTTCCTCTGTGGATTGAGATTGTAAATACATTACATACATACATTGATACAAACCGCTCTGTCTGTCCTCTATATACATCCACGTGTAAAGCATTTTTAGCGCGTAACATCCACGCCCACATTATAAAATTCAATTCTCGCCTCTCGTTCGTTCTCTCGCATTATCCTGTCTTTACCTGAATTCAGTGCATTATCCTGTACAAGTCACGGGTGCCGTGTTTTTGGGACTCATTAGATTATTTGGCATATTTTCACGGTCGTGCAATATTCGATACACATTCTTTGAAATTATTTTTTTTTCAATTATATATTTTTTGGTAAATTAATTGTACACGTGAATTCAGAACTTTTTCTACTTTTCAACGACACGTTCTCTAAAAATATCATTTTCGAAGAATTTACTGTTTAAAAATCTACATGAAACATGTCCGAGATTACTTCTGGTTAGATGTTTTAATTATTGATTTCGACTTAAATTTTTATCAATTTTTTTAACTAAGCCAAACATAAACTTATCCAACTTTGAAGAAGTAGATGTTTTGGTCATCAAGATATATATTGATAGACAAGTAGATCGAACATCGTGATTATCATAAATTTAGCGGACAACTTGTTTATGTATAACTTTTGTGCGACTTGTTTTGTGTTTTCTTAAATTTTCAGACAGATAGACGAGGGGGGAATTAATAACTTCTAAAAAAAATGTTTCTTTTTGCTTTTGCTTTGAACCATAAAAAATCATGATTTCTTGTTGAAAATTCTAATTGTACAAGTAAAAAACTGAAATGTAGTACAGTAGTAGTGAGAATTAAGGAAAATGATACTTTAAAAAATTTTGTTTTTAACAACAAAAATTTATTTCTTGCAATCTTTCTTGACGACTTTTTTCGATGAAACAATCCAAAAATGACTTTTTATGACACATTTCTTCATTAAAAGTTAAATTTCTTATAACCTATTGAAAATATATGATGCGATGTTGAAAATTTGAATATTTTAATTTTTGTATATACATGATTATAAATAAAAAGTTTGGCCATACTGGAGGGTGTTTGGTAGGGATTAAAATTAGATTTTTAGTAGATTGTGATAGAAGTTTTTGAAATGTGTAGTTGAAAAGATGTATGACACATGAAAGATGTGGTTGATATTGATTGTTTGACTTTGACTTAAATCAAAATCAGATTTTAATCCGACCCAAACATACCTTAATTTGTCCTTTTTAAAACCCGAATAAATCCCATTGCTTTAGTTTTCAAATAAAACTCAGCTTTCATCTGGAACACTTGTTTATCTTAACATAAAGCTTCATGAAAATAACTATTTGATAGAATTATACCAACAAATTATTCTAGATAAATCACATTCATTTTATTTTTTAACTTATTTTTTATCCTAGAATGACCATGTGTTCAATACGTATAAAATTCAGGGGAGCAACTGCACGAATTTCTATCTCAGAACGATGATTAATCTCATGGATAGTTTTTTTTTTTAAAGATTTTGTTGGTGCTTGTTTGTGCTTGAATTTAGGTTAGTGAGGTTGTTCGTTGCTGTTTTGCTGAAAAATCTACTAAGACAATAACGAGAGGAAAACGAAGAAATAGACAGAAATCACAATGCAGTGATATACGAAATCAAGTTAAGATTCTCTATACTGGTGTTAATATAATTTTATAAACGTTTAGCTTCCAAAATACAAAGCTTCTTCCAAATTTTATATAGCACAATATGACAATATTAACTTGTTAGGTAAACCAACCTTGATTGTTCTTCTTAACTAGAATTATTTGAGTTTGTTAGGCAAATTTGTTGTCAAATGACCTCCATGGGCGATGATATAAGTATTATATATTTCAGTCGGCATCGACCAAATGATTGAACGAATATTGACACCACAATTTGGTAAACCAATCAGATAATCACTTGGGTCATTTGAAGCAGCCTAATTTAATTAGTGCTGCTCATGGCCCAACCCAAGATTTGGATGGCTTTTTTGATTTGATAGCCCATCAACATATTCCCTATTGGGCCATAATCTTTGTAACCTAAAGCCCATACCTAATTTCTTATATATTTACCGTACCCATTACTGTGCTTGAGTGAGTGAATATAATTTAGCCCTTTACTTGAGAAGAAATAGCGGCGGTCTCTTGGCTTTGTTTTGTGCTCTCTGCCTCTTGCTTCGTGCTTTCCACTGTGCTATTGCTTCTCACTTTTCTACAGCCTTAGTGGCTGTTTTCGGTGGCTATTATAACCTCCATTCTTAGTCCTTGTTTGTGGGCAGATTTCTTGAGCAACCGATCGAGGGATCTTGAGTTGGTTTGTGATTGGGTTTTCTCTTCGTGGTGTCGATTGATTAATACTGAGCCCAATTTCCTTGGTGCAATTGGCATTTTTATTCTTCACAAAGTTCTCGAAAAATTGAAAACTAAAAATTAAATTCCCGTATTATAAGGTGGAATTTGGGATATAGAAGGATTTAGTAATCAATAAACTCAAATTGATTTGTAGTGATAAAAATGGGATATTTCGCTTCAATGTGTTTATTTTGAATTTTTGTATTATTTGACATGAATCAATTTAAATCTTTAGATCGCTTCATTTCAAATTTGAACATGTCCTATGGTCTATAGCGCACCCTATAACGATAATTCATGACCTACATGCTCCTAATATTTAGTCCCTGTTTGAACTTCATTTTCTAAAATTCATTTTTTTTATATTTATTTTCAATTATATGTTTTCTCAATAAAATAATTTTACACATGAATCTATAACTTTTCACTATTTTTTATCTACACGATCTCAAAAAAAACTAATTGCACCAAAATCTATTGTACAAAAATCTCTAGAAAATAGGAGCTTCATTTTCAAAATAAGTTAGAGCTTAATGTGAGTAAGGGTAGCAAAGAGAGGGTAAAAAAAAAACAGCTCAAATTTCAAACAAATACAAAATTTTATTGTTTGAAAGGTGATAAATGGCGTGCCAATTAAAGAAGCATGATGAAAAAGAAACAAATAATAAATACATATACTTTACTAACCTACATCTTAAGTTGTAGAGATACCTTGTATATATGTTAGTATTTACTTGATGAACAATAAATAAAGCAAAACACTTATGCTTTGTCTAGTGCTCATATGTAATGCTTTGTCATCTAAAACGTAGCGAACAAGTATTTTATATCCGACTAGAATCTAATTTTTAGGAGTTTTGTAGAATTTTGAACGTTTAATCAAATTTAAATAACCCGTTCAAGTGCAATTTCAATAAATGCTCATTGACATATCCCGTCGTTGAAAGAGGTTTTTCAATTTTATCCTTTATTTGGTTAGGAAATTTTACATCAAAGGATTATGTCGGGGCAATTATAAGAGTAATGAAAAACACCCGCAACTCTTGTTTAGGGAACCTATCTAATTTCTATTAAGCCCCATTTGGTGGCGATGAATAGATTTTTAATAGATATTGATAAAAGTTGATGAAATGTATGATTAACAAGTTATGGGTCACATAAATATGTGATTAAAATTAATCGTTCATAAAACCATCGTATTTTGAATGTAAAATGAGATTTTGTTTTCGGACTCATAGATTTCGTTACTTAAGTTAATAGATTAAAGTTTAGGGATCTTTTGCAAACAAAATGTATACTTTTAGGGACCAACTAGGTCTTTTTACTTGTTTAAAATATTTGCAGTTTGACCTTAGGGTGATGTCATAACAGATTTCGGAAATTACTTAGGCCCCGTTTGTCTTCTATTTTTAAAAAAAAATTCTATATAATAATTTTTAATAACATATTTATACAATAAAATATTTTACATATAAATCCAAATTTTTTCCTATATTTTAACCACATATTTTTTCAAAAATTAACTATTCAAAACAATGATTTTTTTTTTCATAAAAATGGCCACCAAACAGAGCCTTAAACAAAATCCTTTCCTCCGTAGATTGAGATTGTAAATACATTACATACATACATTGATACAAACCGCTCTGTCTGTCCTCTATATACATCCACGTGTAGAGCGTTTTTAGCGCGTAACATCCACGCCCACATTATAAAATTCAATTCTCGCCTCTCGTTTGTTCTCTCGCCGCCTTGAAATTTTGCCAAGAATCACAGCGATATTCATTCTCAAAAGGGCTTTTCGAAATTGAATCCATCCCCTTTTCGATTATCAGAGCATAAAATACTATTGTAGGTCTCCGGCGATGTCGCGTGCCGGAGCGGAGGTCGTGGGCACATCGGCGGCTACGGTGATGCTCCGTCTTAAAGATGCCACGAGTTGGTGGGATGTTATGAACGAGTCACCAGTTTGGCAGGATCGCATATTTCACATCCTCGCTGCCCTTTTTGGAATCGTCGCCGTCGTTGCTCTTGTAATGAAATTGATTTTCCTTTTCATTTCAGGAATAATTGGTCATTTGATTCATTAATTGTTCTTTTAATATTTGAGGATGTGAATTTTACGTCGTTCAGAAGTTTCCTTTTCAATGTTATTCGTATTGTTACCCCTTTCCCCGTTTCCGTGTAAATATTTTGTTGTGAATTGAAAGTTGAATTCTCCTTTCCTTTATATAAATGAACGAATGAATAAAAAAAATAGCATTGAATTTTTTATTACGAGATAAATTACTGGTTTCTGTTTTTTCACAGATGTTTTACTTGAAGCCATACATTTTAAAAGAAAAGCGATGGTGAAAGAAGATTAAGCTGTTTGAAAAGATAAACTGTTATTTTCAGTTAGCTGATAAAATATTGATATTTTTCCTATAAGTTGCATTAAATTTTGAGATCAGGGTGGGCAATTTCCTGAAGATTATTGACCTTGGCTATGAATTTATTTTGTTTATTGATCTCTTGCAATCCGTTGACAAGAGAACGAGGAACTAGAACGATCTATGTTTCTTTAGTTTAATAAAATTACTTACCTATCTGTATGTATTTTTTTTTCAAGTGCTTCACTTAATCTGTGCTGTGCATATTGTTTCTACTTAACTGGAATGTGTTCACTCTAGGTGCAACTGGTAAGGATACAATTGAGAGTGCCAGAGTATGGTTGGACCACACAGAAGGTCTTCCATTTTCTCAATTTCTTTGTCAATGCAGGTTTGTACCTTTTATTCATTATAGAATTATAATTTTTTATTTATAATCCTTATCTTGTGGTATGATTTGTTGATCCTTTTTTGTTTTTTTAGTTCGATGCGTAGTATTTGCATTTCGTCGGGACGTACAAAAGCTGAATCCAGAGGTCAGGAAATCATCTACTTCGATGCATGTTATTGCTTTTGTTTAAATTCTATCGTTTATAGTTGTCTGATATATCGTTTGCCATTATGTTTTTGATAGATTGTCCAACATATCTTGCTTGATATGCCTAGTCTTTTGTTCTTCACAACATACGCGCTCCTAGTGTTGTTCTGGGCAGAGATTTATTTCCAGGTTCAGTTAGATTTTTTCTTTTAATAATTTTTTTGCCATTACATTACATTGAATTAGTCTGATTTCTGATTTTATTTATTTTTTACTATTTGGTAGGCACGCGCTGTATCAACGGATGGGCTGAGGCCTGCTTTCTACACAATTAATGTTGTGGTGTATGCCATTCAGGTGAAATTTCTTGCCCAAATTAGCAAGTGGGAGGGCTTAGATAACATTGCAATCTGTGAGGCATAGACTGTTTCGGAAATGGATTTTCTTGATAGCGTTTTCATTTTCTCCTCTCCTACTTGATATGTTATGCTGCCATTTGTTTGTACTATCAATGTAGAGAATAATTAAAGAATCTTTATTGACGTTTTTACTACTTAATTGGATACGAAGTGTTTAAAAGGAATTAGAAAACAAAAACATAAAATCAATCAGATGCATTCAGTCATAGTTCTTTTTCTTTCTCTTCCCTTTCCTTTTATGTTGGAGGGAGAGGGAAGAGGGGGTGGATGGGGAGATGTTATTTCAGTAGTCATATGCATTAAGTGAGCTTCCACTGACAACCTTTTTTTTTAAATTGACTTTGATACTTTCTTGAAGTGTGCATCGCTAGGATATTTTTGAGTGTATTTTTTCCTTCACTATGGATAATATCATACGTGACGCAGCTTCATTGACAAATCTACTTGGATAGGAAGTTATTCTATATCTTTTGTATGCATATCTTTATGCAAATGCAACTTGTTGACTTATGCTCATTTTGGATGCATTGTTAATCTTTTGCATGCATCTCTCTGTGCAAAAGCAACTTGTTGATTTATGCTCGCATTGGATGCATCTGCCCTTGGGTATTGTGCTTACAACCTTCGGTGTGATTGCTTGTTCAATTTCCTTATATTCTTCGTTTCAATTTGTCCTTCTTGTGCTGACCTCTTGAAAGTTCTTGTTCTTTGTCTTGTAGTTTTATCCCACTTTTGTCAGTTCTCTTAATTTGTATCCTTGAAGATGTATTGTGGCAGACATTATGTTTATGCTAGTTGGAATCCTCTCAACATAGTCCTTGTAGAGGATTTTGACCATCTTGAAATCTACACATCAAACGTCTACTACTTTAAATCCCTTTTGATGAACCTTGACAGTAATTTGCCAATCAGCAGTTGCCTAGGTCAAATTTGCGGTGTCCTGGTTTGAATGAGGCTGGTGTCTTGTTGTGATGACATTTGAATCAGCTTGATATGTTACAAGTTGCAACTCTTGTACATGGTTGTGGAGATAAGAATAACCAGTACGATTAGGATTTTCACAACAATTTATCTTTTGAACTTTCGAATGGTCTACATTTGGAGAGTATTGAGTGGAATCTATTCTATTTTTTTTTCCTTCTGTTGAGACGTTGTTGTGACTTTTTGAGGTCAGGAAAAAATGTGTGATTTGGTGTAGTTTTCTTGACTTAGAATTTGTGGTGTAGAAAAAGGAAGGGAGACTGGGACTGGGAGGCGCATATTGACCCTAAGCATTCAGTTGTTCTTGGAAGCTTTATGCTAGCTTTTGTATAAATATGTTTATATGAACTTGATTTTAAGTTTCATTAAATGCAATTGAAACTTTGTAGATTTTAAAAAGTACGTAGTTGATTCCTTTTCTTTACCTTGTGTTTCTTTTCTAGAAATATAAATTCCAAATTGGAAACAAGAGGTCGGAACTTTGAATCATGGTTCGTAGACACATGGTTCAAATTTCACTTATGTGTGATATCAAATTAAGGGCCTGTTCGGTACAGCTTAAAATCCAATTAAAATTGAAAATATGACCGTTATTGGGTCTCACTCGTCTAATAAAAGTCAACAATAACAGCTTTTCAATTTTAATCCAATTTTAATCTCTACCGAACACGCCCTAAAAGAACTTATCTACATCAATTATGACTTCACAAGATGAATGAAAAGATAGTATCCATGTGTTGACCTTATGATGTGTTTAAGACATCATTTTATTTTCAGATAAGAGAACTTCTGTATGATTACATTATAGTTAGTTTGAAGACACTCAAATAGAAAAAGAAGCTTCAATAATTTTCGCCAACCGTTAAAGTTTAAGACGCTCTAAAATTGGACTTAGTTAATTAGTAAATATTGATAAAATTTAAATTGTTATCAGTAGTTTTGTAGCAAGTCTAAATATACTTCACATACATTATAATGTGATGCTGTGGCAAAATGCTAATCTACTGAGGAGTAAAGTATCAATACAATGTATATATGAATTTCTACATGTATCTTTTCTGAAGTTTGCATTTATTGGTTGACTAACTTTATTTCTTATTTTTTTCAGATACTTTTGTGGTTAATTATATGGTGGAAGCCCATCCCACTTTTGATAGTCCTGTCAAAGATGTTCTTTGCAGGTTTTTATTTTAGATTTTCCATTAAATTATACTGCGTATGCGTTCTTAACTTTTGAGTTGCTAAAAGCATACATCAATTGGCAGGTGTGTCTTTATTTGCAGCACTGGGGTTTCTTCTTTATGGTGGAAGGTAATTATGTTTCGTCACTTGAGATTTGACTCTGGTTCTGGAAGTGAGCTTCTTGAACAATGTAAATTAATGCAAAGTTGGGAAACAATCATATGCAATGTAACCATCTCTCACCTTTCCAATAATGCAATTGGATTTTATTTAGCACATGTTTGGGATCCATTAAAATGAGATTTTGGGGGGAATGTGTTTTGGAATGGTGATTTTTTTGGAGTGTGTGGTTAAAAAATAAGGAAAGGTTTTCGATTTACTTGTAATATTATTTTATGAGAGAATGTGAGGTTGGAAATGAGTTTTGGAAAAATGGAGCCCAAACAGTGGTTTAAGTTTTCTCATGTATTTGGTCGGTATAGATGCAGTAAACTCATAAATCGTTAATTTGTTTCTATAACCAAAAATTTATTTCCTTGCACATCTTTTTCTATTGAAGTAAATACTGGTGTACAGAAGGTCGCCATAAATAATAATGATAACCTCGTATTAGAGTATTATTTTAACTATGAGTATATATGTTGCTCAGGAAGGAAAAGAACATTCATCTGTGAATGTGGGGTCTCAAGTGAAATTGATATTCTCCACTTGTCCGTATCCTTGTGACTGAGATTCCCACGAGTGATTCTCACAGGACTCAGTTATTAATTTAGAATTTGATTGATTTCTGGTTATATATTTGGTATCTGCTGGGTACAAGGTTTTTGCGGATTCTTTATATAATCATTTTAATTTTTAACTCTAATTTTCTTCTTCATTCAGGTTGTTCTTAATGTTACAGCGATTCCCAGTAGAATCAAAAGGAAGACGCAAGAAGCTACAGGAGGTATGTTCCAAGTTACAGAACATATTCTTTCTTCAAGCATTTATGTTTTAACTTTTGTTTCCCTAACATTTTTCCCCATTCAGGTTGGCTATGTAACCACAATATGTTTTACATGTTTTCTCATTCGATGTATTATGGTAAGTCCAGTCTTGTTCGTTACTTCACATCTTATTGTGTGGTTGAGCTGCAGGAGTAAAAAGTTTATAAACTTCATCTAAATGAGATTCCAGTGGTTTAATATTCAAGTCGAGGTTGCCTTTTTTTGTTAATCCATGTATTTTGTTGATTACTAATCCAAATTAGATGATGTTGATGAAGTGCATAATATAAGCCTTTCTTAAATTATTATTTCTCCAATTATCTGACTTGTGTTTCTATTACTGTGTTATCGTCTACAGATGTGCTTTAATGCATTTGATAAAGCCACAGATTTGGATGTTTTGGATCACCCCGTTTTAAACTTTATATATTACCTGGTAAGCTTCAAGTAGTTATTATGTTTATATGATAGAGATTGATGTTAATAAAATAATACTGCTCCTCTGTTTACTGTTTATTTTGCACACGGTGGATGAGAAATTTTAGTAATTATCAAAAACAACGGAAAACAAATGTTCCAGACGGTCAGATTTCTTTGATTTTGATTTTCCTTTTCCTTTGATGTGTTGGTTATGAACATTCTTATGTCTTGAGCATATTCTAGTTTAACACGTTCTTTACTTCTTTAATTTTCTATTTTATTTATCTGAGATTCGGATATTATATCAGAGCAGGAAGTGTGCAGTATTTAGGTGATTGAGAACAAAGTCATCTATTAAGTATTAGATTCTCTATGAGAACACAATTATCCACAAATATCCAGAAAATCTCTAATGAATATGAAGATGAATTGAAAGTTGGAATATAGGGGGTCGGTGAGCGATCAGTTATCTCAGGGAGTTGGTAAAATGAATTCGGATAATGATATGTGTATTTAGAGGACATCTATTGGCTTCTTGTGGTATTCTAGTGTATGGCCCAACGATTGCAATGCCTTTTCTTTTTTTTTTTCTCATTGTGGTGAGAGAAGGTGGGGTTGGAGGTGAAGTAACATGCAGCACGAGGGTTCAGAATGAGAACTCCTAGGTGATGAAGTATTATAAGGGATTTTAATTATTTTGATTCATATTTTAGGAAATAGGATTATAGTATGATTTAATAACTTTTATATCATTTCTTTCCTTAGTTATGTGTTTGAAACCCTATATGAAGGGGGCTATGCGATGTAATGAAGACAACCTTTGATATAGAAAGCCCCAACCACCCAAATTTCAATTTTAATTAGCAAAAGAACCAGAGCTGTTCATCGACCAGCATATGTAACTGCTGTTTTAAATTTCGTCAAAAGAATAGAAAAGAGGAAAAAAGTGAGTGGAATTACTGTGCTGCTGCTGTTCGGAACTTTATTGTTCTGTGTTTGCTGCTGTTTTTATCAAACCCATTCCCAACATATAAAGCCTATTCCCAGCCAAAGTGCATCAATAAAACCAATACTCACAGCAACCTTTGATAAAGACAGCCCCAACCACCCAAATTTCAGTTTTAATTATCCAAGAAAATAAAAAGAAGCCGGAACTGTTCATCGGCCAGCATATGTAATTGCTGTTTTAAATTTCATCAAAAGAAAAAAAGTGAGTGGAATTACTGTGCTGCTGCTGTTCAGAACGTCGTTGTTCTGTGTTTGCTGCTGTTTTTCCTAAACCCATTCCCAGCACATAAAACCTATACAGTGAAAACCAAATGAGGGTTTGAACTGTCAGGACTTTGGAATTTCTATTTTCAAGATGATGAAGCATCTTGTGTGTTTTTCAGCCTTCCCTTTTGTAAAAAAACATTGTTTCAATGCTAATTCTGCAGCTCTCAAATAAACATTTTTTAGCATATTATGTATAACCAAAAGTGGACAGAATCCTAAATTCTTGTTGCATATGTATTGCTTTTATCTTTATGAGGTCTAGATTATCTTTTTCCAAGGTGTGTTGACATGATGAGTATTTTTGTAAGAGAAAATTCATTAAAAATAAAGTGGCAAGAAATAGGTTGACTTGCTCTATGTTTACCACTAATATTAGGCCTATCATTTTTCGCAACTGGTGGGTCGCATCATTCTGTGAATGTGGCCAAGAAATCTTAATTGGTTTGCAGCAAATCTACAATGGCTGCTATTTAACAAGTTCACTTATATGTTCATGTTTAGCAGTATTTGTAATTATAGAAATAATAGATACATCTTCATGCTCTTACCACGTTTGAGATTCAGAAAAATAATGGATATATATTTGGAGCATGTCCGTCTGTGTTGTATAAGTCCGACTGTTGTCTGTTTCTTAGCTTTTAAATTTCAAAATCGCCCCAAGCAGACTAACAAGTACACAGATCTCCTTTGTACATCCTAATCACTTCAACAAAGTAAGTCCTCTGTGTAAAGCAGCGTGGGAAATCTTATCCTGCTAAAATTGAAAATGGCAATCAACCTGTGATGTATGTTTAGCATTATTGAGACCTGGGATTGAGAGGAAATGATAAGAATGGGACTGGGCAGGGAAAGTGCAATTTGGATTCATGTGTCATACATAATATAGGAGTTTTTGAAATGATTTTAGTGAGTTTTTCGTTATGTCCGGATTAAATTGTTGGGTTTCATTAAAAAGAAATTGAGCCTCCGTTTGGTAACCATTAAAATTTTCATCATCATTCTTCTACTCATTTTTAACCACACGTTCTTCAATTAAATAATAATTTTCATTACATCAATAATTTTTATTCGCAACTGGTGGGTCGCATCATTGAAATCTTAATTGGTTTGCAGCAAATCTACAGTGGCTGCTATTTAACAAGTTCACTTATATGTTCATGTTTAGCAGTATTTGTAATTATAGAAATAATAGATACATCTTCATGCTCTTACCATGTTTGAGATTCAGAAAAATACTGGATATATATTTGGAGCATGTCCCTCTGTGTTGTATAAGTCCGACTGTTGTCTGTTTCTTAGCTTTTAAATTTCAAAATCGCCCCAAGCAGACTAACAAGTACACAGATCTCCTTTGTACATCCTAATCACTTCAACAAAGTAAGCGGAAATCTTATCCTGCTAAAATTGAAAATGGCAATCAACCTGTGATGTATGTTTAGCATTATTGAGACCTGGGATTGAGAGGAAATGATAAGAATGGGACTGGGCAGGGAAAGTGCAATTTGGTTAGAGAAAACATTCATGTGTCATACATAATATAGGAGTTTTTGAAATGATTTTAGTGAGTTTTTCGTTATGTCCGGATTAAATTGTTGGGTTTCATTAAAAAGAAACTGAGCCTCCGTTTGGTAACCATTAAAATTTTCATTCTCATTCTTCTACTCATTTTTAACCACACATTCTTCAATAAAATAATATTTTCCATCACATCAATAACTTTTCATCTTTTTTAACTACACATTCTCCATGGACCCCACTTGATATGAAAGATAAAATGTATTATTTGAAGAAGAATGGCTCCCAAACGGAGCCTGAGTTATTATTTTAAGNTGGCTCCCAAACGGAGCCTGAATTGCAATACTTTTCTAGAAAGGCTTTTCCAATGGTGAGGAGTTGATTCTAATTGATTAATATTTGAATATAAGTAAATTTGACATTAACATATTAGAGTTATTCTGATTTTGCTATCCTTTTGGACTTGGATAGCTATGGGAACGAAGGAATTAAGGTCAAGGGAAAATGTAAGAGAAAAAATGAGATGGGAAATGAAGATGAATTGTAAATTTCTTTCTGTTTGACTGTTTGTCCATTTTCACCTGTTTTGTATGATAAATGAGAAGGAAGTTGGAAAATTCGAAAACAAAAATAACAGATTACTGTTTGGAACAAATTCTTTAAAACTTATTTTTCTTCAAATTCATTTTCATCCACATATTCTCCCAATAAAATAATTTTGCATGTAGACCTATAACTTTTCCTTATTTTTAACCACTTTCTAAAAAAACTCACTTTTCACTAAATTTATTCACAAAACATCTGCATCACACATGCCCAAGTCTCATCTCTAATAAATTATCACTTTATGATGGAATTTTTCATATCTACACAAGACATGTCCCCACCACTCTTTCTTTTTATCTTTATTTTGTTTTGTCAAGAGCAACATTTTTTTTTTGTTTTTCTCATTTTCCACATCTACTCTCTAACTATTTCAAACCAAGCGCCTGAAAGAAGAATCTGCAGGAGGTGGAGGAAGGAGAGGGAGCGAGATAAATGTGAGTTAGAAACAGATTAAGATGAAAAAAAGAAAATAGATGAGCCAAAGAAAATATTCTAGTCAAATCATTTCTGTTCTTAAGCATGCTAAGCTTATAGCGGATAGTTCATGTTGCCTTTCTGTCCCTTACATTTCTATTTCATCCTGTAATTAGTGCCTCTTATGTCATTTGTTTACTGAGACAGAAAAAGGCTGTTTTTGCCTTCATAGTTTACTGCTGCTTGATGTGTCATCTTTTTTCAGCTAATTAACATTTTTAGCATGTTTGAATATGTCAATTCTAATATATAATACATTGATTTGCAGTTAGTAGAGATAATACCTTCTTCGCTCGTCCTTTTCATACTGAGGAAGTTGCCTCCAAAACGTGGAGTCACACAATATCAGCCCTTCCGTTGAAGACGAAGAGATGTTAAATGATGGAAACAGGAGTCGCGTGATGGATGAGTTGTTTTCAAAGTTAACTTCATGGCGAGTTGGCATTGGGGACAAACTTCTGCCTGAAATGGAATTCAAAAACGCACAGGTGTTTGTATGGCAAGGGCTCGTGAACTATTAAGCTTGTTCTCACTTCACATACTGTATATCTTCAGTGAATTGTGAACTAATAGAATGGTGAAATATGCTTTCTTTTTTTTCTTTTTTTTTTCTCCTCTTTAGTGCAAGTTGTCTCGTTTGCCAGTCATAATCGATGCCTTTCATTCTTCCTTGTGTTTTTGTTTCGTTTCTCCAGTCTTTCCTTCCGTTGTGTGCATGACAAGCAAAGTGAAGAAATGAACAATGCTATGATATTGAAACAGAGAATGCCAAACCATTTGTTTTGTGTGTATGTTCTGGCTTCCCTCTGGCCTGTTCTCTCTCGTTTTCCAGCCTCGCAATTTCGTCTCTGCTAATGAAGATAATATAGTAATTGAAAAGTTGCCTTTTCCCAAATATGGTGTATATGGAGATGTATAAATGATGTTTCTGATGCAGCAGAACACAGCTTATAAAGAAGAAAGCTGGACCTAAGATTCGTTTCATTGTTGTACTCAGCTAAATCTCCTACCCTACCCTACCAATGTAGACTGGTTGGTGAATCTGTCATCTAATGTTCGTCTACCGGTAAGAATGTTGGGTTTTAACTCTTGATTTGACTAACTATATTTTACTTTGGTATAGTATAGTTCTTTCTTGAACAGGCCCGATCTGATCCTTTTCAAATTATTCTAACAAATTTGGTTTTAGATAGATGAGAAGATTCGTGCAGAAAGGGTATCCTATCTCTGCTGTGAATAACCAAATTTTTGTACGATGGCCAGTCTCAGATGTTGCAAATTTGAAATCCGATTTTGGTAATACTTCGATGTGAATAGTAGTTTAGATTCAAGAAAGTCAGGTGAAGGAGTTAACGAAATTCACCTTTTCTTCAAATTTTGATATATAACAAGGTGTGAGAGTACGTTTCATGTCTTCTATTCCAATGCTAGAAAATCCTGGAAAAACAACCAAAACTAAAGCATGTCGTGGAAGGACATTTGGTATAAACTTTTGAGAATTTTCTCTCTAGTCTAGTGTCAATAATTTTTTATTCTTTTTGATCAGCAAATCTATTCATTAAAATCAATTTTTGACATTCTTTTGCAAATCAATACATCTTCATTGTCAATTATCTCACATTTTAAAGAACCAACGATACGTGGATACATTTAAGAAATAAAAATCATAATTAACTTCTTGAAGAAAGATGAAACATTTTCACTTTTTCTTTTCATTCTCACCTTTTTTTTAATTACTTTAAATGGAATTACGTGATGACTGTTTGCCCTGAATTAAATTGTTCATTGATGAAGTTTTAGTCTCCATTTGACAAATTTATAAATGATTTATAAAAATGTATTATAAAATTAAACCATTTATAAAATTGAGTATCCAAATGGAGGCTTAAATCAACTCGAGGTATTTTGGATGAAAATCGTCCACAAATCTTTCTAGGCACATTTATTAAAAGGTTTGGGAAACGAGATGGTGGAATAAATACAACTTTATACATTGTGCAATACAGCTCAAAATTCATTACATTATATACAAATCGATCATTATCCATAGTTAACTAAACAATTTATTAAGAACAAACCAAGCAAGGATCTTTATTTATTTGTGACCATCGACCAACCTTTGCCTCCTTAGTAATTATTTCATTTGTACAAACATCCTCTACACGGTGGGGTGAAGTAGTCAGACCCATTGTTGTCGCCATATATTTGAGGCGTACAGGAAATTGGAACTAAACAAAGACCTCGACTCCTCAGATCCGCCTCCACTTCCCCAGTATTCGATCCTCTCCATGGATCCTGCATACCAATAAGTTTCGATAAAAGTTGTGGGTCCCATAAAGTTAAAAGTTAATTGCTCGCACATTGTTAGAAAAACAAAATGGAAGTTTATTTTATTTTTTCCTATGTGATGCTTAGTTTAAATGATCACCTTGCAAGAGTTGCTCTTCATATAGGAGTTGCTCATCAATAGCTGCAGACAGACATGAAAATATTCCAGGTTACATATAAATGATGAAGTATATCTATATCTTTCCCTTTAATTTTACCTAATGGCAGTTTGAAATAATTTTGAAAATAGTAAGAGTTTGTATTAATTCTGTGGTCACCTGTATTTGTTCTTGTAGAAACCTTATATAGCAAATAGCCTCCCATAACACAGATGCTGTGTCAGTCTAAAACATTAAAACCAACAAATTATAAATCCACAAATTTAAGAATTTTAAATAAATCAGCTATAATCTTAATATTAATGCTAATGCTAATATCTAACCTTTCCGAATGGCGATACAATTTGCTGAAGAGCTGTGATTTTTTCTGTAAGCTTTACTTTGGGAACCTGTGTCTAAAGATCAAAAAAAGCAATTCACAACAAGCTCGTACATCGTTCTTTCGTCGCGCTACCAAAAAACACGGCTATAAGACTGATTTTTTACATTGCTGAAGGCCTGGCCAGGTGATTTTGTTAATTGGTTAAACTACAATTACCTTTGTAGATGAGACTGTTGGATGTTGAAGCATAGGCTTTTTCACTACCGTGCCTGTGCCTGTGCCTGTGCCTGAACTCTCTTCACTTCTTTTCTTCTTTCCTTCGTGAGTTCTAGCTCGTTGTGCCCTCACGTTGCTTCTTGCTACTGTAGAGCCTGTTGCTAGTGCAGACTGAAACTTTATTCAGGAAGATCAAAAAAAGAAGGAAGAAAATTAGGTATTAATTTCATGGTTTAGATATATAGCACACTCTAGTTGCTTGGATTATTTGAAAATTGTCACTTAATATTGATTACTATTGGTTGAAGAGGAAGAAGAATATATATGACAGAGAGCTTACTTGATAGGAAGTTTGTAGCTCCCTCTTCTTAGAATCTGATAAATTCAAAGTTTCGAGTTCGGATTTAGATGAATTGATATCGATGAATGGCTTGTTAGAATAGCTACTAAAAGTTAAAAGATCAGCCAAACTTTTCGAATCATTCCATTGCGTATCTGGCAAAATTAATCCACTGTGATATCTGCCACGATCAGCACCTACAGCTGTGTTCTTGATAGATCTCATTTGATATTCAGACCCTCCATTAGTACTGCTGTACAACCTAGGAAATGCTGTCCTTGTTGCATCAATGCCTCCTTCATTTTCTACTTTCATTTCATTACCATTTCGACTTGATGCTGAGCTGAAATTCTTGTCCATGTTTCCTCCAGTCGGCGTCAAATTGTTGCCACTATGGTTTAATATAGAACTTAATGGTGTATAACATGAACATGAACCAAACTGGTGATTGCAGACTGAATTTGATAGCTTGTTTAGCCTTCCAGTTTGAACTGAGCTCTCATTGAACTGTTTGTTGTTACAATTTAAATATAAGGAACTTGTGAAATCCCATCTGTTCTCCATTTTCTTCAAGTAGTCATATTGAGGATCAAACTTTCTAATCGGCAAATTTTTCGAAGAAAATTCATCAAGTAGATTCTCTCCTACATCTTGACTATTCTGCAAGTCTCCATTGCTTCCAGTTCTGCATATGATTCAAATTGTCTCAAGATTAAATTTTGCTCTTCCTCGAGCGCAGCTTCTTATGCTTATAAGGCTCAAGAAAATTTATTCAAATTAAAATTTTCAGGTGCCTATATATAATTATTCCATGTATCGTATTACTTTATATATAAATTATTGTATTACTCTGATGCCCATAAAATCTAAACAAGTTGTTAATGAATAGAAACAATGATTTGAATTTGGGCTTAAGAATGAGTTATAAAATAGAACTGAACTATATATTATTGACCACTCAAGCTATCTTCACCAACCCTACAAAGTAAACATTTCTCTCTTTTCTTGAATAAATCTTTCTTTTCTCACCTACCAAAATGAACAAAAAAAATAGCACTAGGGATGCCACTACTAAACAAGAAAAGGAAAACAAAACAAGGATACATCCAAAATTTTGGAATGAAAATAAAAACTTCTATTAGCTAAGAATCCAATAACAATCATAAATACTTACAAAATTACATGACTCCACGGCTGATCATCAGAACCCGTTTCGCCAACCAGCTCATTAGTTGATACACTTTCAACTAGTCTGCGCGACGACTCAATACTGACACCAGACTGATTAGAAACGTTTGTGTACGTCGTAAACATGGAAACATCCTCTTCACCAGAAGAGTTGGAGCTGTTATTTTGTTGGCTCCATGGATTGTTTGCACTCCAAGAAGATAAAGAATTTACATGAAGATCTGGCCACCAATTATACAAGGAGGAAGTGGTGGCAGCAACAGAACTTTCATTGCATTCTTCAGCCATATCTTTAGGAGTAGTGAAATGGTATAGGAGTTTTCTATACCTTCTGTATTTGCATTTAGTGGGTGCTTAGAATATAAGGATGCATTGATCGTTAGGTTGAAATAAATTTTGAAGACAGACAATAAAATACGCAATCTTAGGTCTCCACAAGTTGTGTTTCATTTTCTGGCAAATTTTCCACTCAAGTTTGTGCGCTAATATTATAATTGAGGTTGGGCCACCTGAGTTTCGTTGTGTGTTTTCTGTGTTCTTGTTTGTCTGTCTCTTTATCCACCTCTACATGTTTATATGTAAGAAATAAAATGGATAAGACGCACATACGAGCAATTATATTTTTCTTGAACGAGACATGGAAATTAAAAATAGAATTTTATTTTTAACTGATTTGGTTTTTGCTCACTTCATTCTTGATTGTTCAACACAACAATCTCAATTCTTCATATACAGTGCAAGAGAGTACTATTCTAAGCGAGTCTACCAAAGAGTGGCTCAAAAGACAGTTCAATGTATGTTGTTTTTTGAACAACTTGATCTTGTTTCTATTGTCAAGACTCCATCTTCCAAAACCATCTTTCAATATAGTAGTATTCAACAATTTTATATGTGACAGAAAGATGGTTTTGTGAGGATTCCTCAGTTTCTCACTCGATCAGACTCAATAAGTTTTTACTTCAAAGATTAACTTACATTTTGCTCAACTTGTCTATCAAACCGTCAACTATTCTAGATGTAAAATTCCATTTCAATAGTAATTTTCCATTTCAATTGGAAAATGCAGTCACGTGTTTAAAGCAGTATAAGTGATCAAGGGGTAAGTCGACTCAATAGTGGATGACATGTGTCCGTGGAAACTAAGTTGCACATGACATTATCCCGATTAGTAGAACAGATAGATGCATTGAATAAAACTTGTCAATTAACCTCTTTCTTTCTCCAACCAAGCCAATTGTATTGTTTTGTGTGCTGGTTAACCCTAATTTTTGCACTGCATCCTTACCAAGTTCTAACAACTATTCAAGTCAGCAACAAAATCGACAAACCTCGATGGCGCAGATGGACCTAAAAAGGTTATTAGCTGTTGTTAAATCTACTCAACCTCTCTGTCCCTCACCGTTATAACCTACCATAATTCGAGGATATGCTACATCAACAAATACATCAGTAGTCACAACTGTGTTATCTTATCTCTTTGCATCACTTCATCCATGAAGTCGTCACAAGCCTTCAATGGCCTTGTGGCAACATTTTGACAAGGATCGAAAATTGTGCTTTGATGCCGAAATGAAGCAGCAGAAGTAAAACTAAAAAGGAAAAATATTTCTCTTGAATTTTAATAGTCAAATATAAGAAGAAAACTAATCTAACAAAACATCTAATTTCCCTGCGTGAAAACACGAAATTCTCGACGACTTTCTAGTTCCTGTTAATTCTCTCTTGAACACTAGAAAATTATACATCAAAGACATGTTGATTCACGTACAATACTGAAAGTTTAAACTTAGTGATTCATACAGAATATTGGAAATTGGATACATAATAGAGAAACCCAAAATTTTCATTTCATAAACCCTAGCAGTCTTATTTTCCAATTCTATAAAGAAATCTCATACTACAATTGTAAAAATCCTAATCAAGGATATTAATTGAAATACTAGCTAAGAAAAAACTTAGTCAAAAGAAAAACCTAAATTTACCTTAAAAACACTAAATTCTTAAACTACCCAAATAATCCCCAAGTGCAAGAGAATGCCATTGTGACTCTGATTTTCATTTTTCCATGCAAAAAGAATCCAAAAAAAAAAAAATTCTATCATATATACTTGATATCATGGTTTTTTTTTTTTTCTGTTGAATGAGACTAAAAAAAATCATAAAAAGCTCATTTTCTAAATTCTTTTGAAGGTCTATGTAATCGGGATATTTCTTTTAAATCGAAACAACTTGATTTTGGGGGAGTTTTCAGCGTGAAATACTCATCTATTACATTAATAACAAAAAATTTTATGAACAAAGATGTAATTTTGAGGAATTCTACTCACAGTTCTGATAAATTTTAATAAATCAAACCTCTTAACATGTTGAAATTTTGACATTCAAAAATTCTACACCTTGTTGGTTAGACAAACCTTAATGCTTGAAAAATCATAAACTGGACGAAAAATTGATGGATGGTGGTGTTGAAGTGGAATATATGTTCAAGACTGCAAATGATGATGTTATTTACATGCTCCATTCTTCAAATGATTTCTATTTGAAAGTATAGTTGTTCACAAAAATATCTTTCGAATTAAAACCACCGCAAGTGTACGGTTCGTTAACAAGTAATAAAGTGGATTTGAGTTCAAGTATCATTCCACATAGATTAATTTTGTTCAATTTTAATTATCGCGACCTTAATCGAAATATGAATAGGGTGCGTTTATTTGTGACAAAATTATGCACAAATTAATCTACTTATACAATTATGAATAAACTAACTAAACTAAATGCAAATTATGCTAAATGCAAATTGATGTGTTTAATAAATGAAAAATGCATTAGGATCCCGAATTTCCATGCAATAATCATTTTAAATTTTAGTTCCACACTTTGACAATACGATTGAATTTTGAAAAATCAATATTCCTGTTTTATTTAACAATGTCTCTCGAGTAATGTTAAATCTACTCTCATTTATGATCGGACTATATTTCTATAACGGATGCGAACATATAAAAGTGCATGAATTTTTATGAACACTTAAATATTCACATAGAGTATAACAATATATTTTTATTCCACATCGGAACCTATGACGATTTACACTATGTTGAACATGTTTTCCTTCTTTCGAATGCATAAAATAAACAACCAAATTCATACAATTGCCGTGCACAATAATCGTAGAGAAAAGATAATCATGTCATTCATTCAAAATTCAAAAATGTGTTTTCAATATCATTTATGTAAAATTAAAGATTAACAATTCATTTTACAAGGTTTATCGTTCTCCTGATACAAATAAATCTAGCCTAACATGTTGTGAAGAAGAGAACAAAAGATAAAAATGTTGTTCATCACCTGAAAATTCTTGAATTCAATTTTGAAGTTCTTGAAATTGAATCTTCATGTGTTTTTTTGCCTCTTTTTGCAATTAATTATCCACCCTCAAATTATATTTTGAGAGTTTGTATTTATAATCCCTCTAAAGAATTCCAAAAGATCTCCAAAAACCATGCATATTATAGCTCAAACGGAAGTTTCCTTATTAAAATTGAATTCCAAAGGAAACGTAATTTTTTAGACGAATTGGCTTAGGCGGGCGGCCAATAATAAATGGAGTTACTACCCAAGCATACTACGCAACCCCTATAATTAAGGTTAAGGTCCGCGCGGCCGCCCAACCTATATAATTGGGTGGCTAAGATTAGGCGGCAAATTCATTTGTCTAAGGGTGTGTTTGAATCTAATTTTGAAGAGTATAGAAATTTTAGAATAGTGATTGATGTGAGAATGTGTGGTGAAAAAGTGATGAAAAGTTTTTGATTTGTGTGTAATATTATTTTATTTGGAGAATGTGTGTTTGAAATGAAGAATGAGAATGAGAAATTAACGGATGTCAAACGGTGGCTTAGTCTCCAAACTTCCATCCATTGGCCAATTTATCCTTCTTTCTTTTCCAATTGCTTAGAAACAAATTCAAAAACTGAAATAAGATAAAATTAATCCAAGTTAAGTAAAACTCAATACTAAAAAGACACAAAAACTTAGTAATATAGTTCGAATAAGTGCACAAAAATGCACTTATCAATAGCAATCAATTATTCTGGCAACAAAAAATGCAAAGAAAACCTCGGTAGTTGTTTCTAGAAAATTATTTTTGGGAAGAAAAATGACAAGAAACAAAAATAGTTAAAATGTTTTCTTTATCCATTTCATACATGGAAAAAGTACAAATGAATTTAAAAATATATATATATTTGGTCTATTGTCTCTTGGTACATCTTTGCCTTCATTTAGCGTGTTTTTCATTTTGTTAAGTTGTTGATCTTTTTTTTTTTTTTTAACTTTGTTTTCTTAGACATTTTATTTATCATTTATAATTCGAATAAGAAAATTCTGTTAAGCTTAGAAGTATCTTTTCCTCTTTAATTTTTTACAAACCATTGCATCTCAATAATATTTTTCAACATTTACTTTTTAGTTATTTATAATTGACCTATTTAATTCATTTCTTAATCAGATTTATTAAATTATTCTAATTCGAATATTTACATTAATTTGTTAATTATTTGCAAACGAACAAAATTCATAATTACATTTGAAAAACATTTTTAAAATTTGTTTCATTATATATCTGAAGATTATTACCAAAAAACTAAAATTACATTTCTTTTAACTAAAAGTAATGTTCACATTTGTATCATAAGTCTTTGAAATGAAGAGAGAGAGAGAGAGAGAGAGAGATAAATCTGCCTTAATAATTATTTGAAAAATATTGTGTGAATATGAGGGTATAATGGAAAACATAAAGTTACTTTTGGATAATATTGGGGAATTTTTTGTAAAAAAAAAAAAAAATCTCAATTAAGTTTTGTAAATTTGAAATGAGAAGGGGTATCTCTATAGCAATTAGTTATATCATGAAGTGTTTCTGTATTGTGCTCTAAACGCATATTCAAAACATAGAACATGACTAGATTCCTTAAAGAGAAGGCATGTGACACAAACTGTCTAAATTATTGTAGTGATTTGAAATGTGATATGTCCTTGATGGACTCCATTTAGAAGATGAACAATCAAAACTAAAAAAAATCCCGATAAACGACTAAATAATTTCTCAGCAAAACTTGCTTAATCAATTGATGTAGTTGTCACTCGATTCACAAAAGCATTGAACTATCCAAACTTCCCTTCATTGGCCAATTGATCCTTCTTTCTTTTCGTCCAAAACTGAAATAAGATAAAATTAACCCAAGTTAAGTAAAACTCAATACTGAAACGACACAAAAGCATAGTAATATAATCCGAATAAGTGCACAAAAATGTACTTATCAATAGCAACCGATTATAATGGTAACAAAAAATACAAAGAAAACATAGGTAGTTGTTTCCTAGAAAACATTTCATATATTAAATTTTTCATTGGTCTTCATCCTTTGAAAAGTTTCTGTACTTGTATCAGTGTTACCTTACCAACAAGAATCCACTATCACATGCAATGAAAGGGAAAAAAAAAGTAAGTAATAAAATATTTCTCTAGATACAAATACTTTTTTCCATGTAGTTTTCTGAAACCTGCAATCCATAATCAAATTAATATATTTTGGACTCCTTTGTTGGTGGGTTTTTTCTTTTTTCATAAAGTGACTTGAGGTGGCTTGTTTTACTAATAAAGAATAAAATAAAATAAGCTTGAAAAACTACACTTTGTCTGTCTAGCCATATTCCTTGTGATTATACGTCGAGTTGGTGTTTTTCCGATTCATTTCAGACTCACGACTTAAAAGGGAATTGAGGAAAGTTACTATGGAACATCAAGTTCGGAAAGTTGATTACTTCTTCACATTCAAAAGCGTCTTCGATATATTATCTTTCCCTCGAAAAAGGCACGTTGGCGGGTTTTAAATATATATGGTGACTCTCAACATCAATCTTGGTCTACTTCCATAGGTTTCTGCTTTATTGCTATTGCCCTTTTAGGAAGCTGCCTCCAAACATTTATCCATTAATATAAATTCTCAGCCACTCATTCATTTATTCATATTAATTCTTGACGCCATAGAAATTAGGTAAGAGAGACTGACGTCTCAAGTTTGCATAACCGTGATAGGTTAGACGACTTTAAATTAAACAATCTTCATTTCGAGTGTGTTCAACTTTTTTTATTAAAAACTCTCTAATCTGTTAGGTTATGAAGCTCTCCCTATGTATTATGTATATTACATCATGAATTGTGAAAACGAAACCTCACTTTAAAGTATTACGTGTTTTCTAAGTACCAATAGGCAAATTGCAAGTATTGCGTTTGACAAGTTTTGTTTGTGGTGGACGTGGAGTTGGAGATGGAGATGGTGGTGGAATACATCATGTATACCAATTAATTTTTTGGAATATCAAAATTGCTAATTAAATGATTATGCTTTTGGCAAAAAGAAATTGGAGAATTTTTTTTTTTTTTTTTATTCTGGTTGGCGAGATTTTGACTTAGTCAAATCTTGCCACAATGTTATCTGACGTAAACAAATTTGTAAGTTGTTAGCACAACCTTAGTGCAAAAGTTTATGAGCAAAATAAGAACTCCAAAGTCTTCAACATTTTTATTTAAACAACTAAACACAAACATAACCCCTAGGCAATAGTTAGGAGTTTGAACAAATTATTCCAACCTAAATCCTTAGCCAACAAAGACCAAGATAGTCCTAACGAAAATATCATATGCGATCAAGGTTCGCAGGCTCCTGTAATGCAAGCAGAGTTCATTGCACTATTCTCCCTCGTAAGAAAGATTATCTTCACCATCATTAAACTTCCAAAAGTGTCACATCCATCATGAATTCTGTTAAAGGAATTGGTGACGTGGCTAACGAAAATCTTATGTGACCGATCAACGTCGTTAATTTTGTCCAAGTTTGACAAATAGTATTCTCAAATCATCACTAAACTTTCATTTTTTTGTTATTAAATAGTTATTAAACTTTAAAATATTTCTCAACGGTCCCTGAACAAGTGAAAATATAACTTGCAAATTTTGCAAACGTGAATTATCTTTCCTTTGTGTGAGCCTTGCCATTGACGTAATTTGATGTTGTAATTTTCTGATGTCATGTTAATGTTGATGGAACTTTTAATAGCGAGTTGGATTGTAACTTAACAATGTATGGAGTCTCAATTGGTTATTGTGGTCATAATTAGATTATTGGACTTGGTGCACCTCATTGATTTAGACTTGTGTCTTGATTAGATGAATGGGAGTGTGTGTGTCCGCGCACGCATATTTTTTATGCTTGTGTCTTGATTAGATGAATGGGAGTGTGCGTGCGTGCGTGTTTGTTTGGAATTGTTGTCACCTTGTTGCTTTAACTTTTGAGCAAAGTAGAATGAACTTTTGACTTTGTTATAGCTCATGTTCAATTAAATCCTATCGATGGAAAATAGTTATAGAAACTTATTTTCAATACTATAAGAATGATATGAATCCATACATTGGAAAATAGTTGTGGCGGGAGTTTCTTAGTAACCATGAAGAATCGCAAGAGAAAATTTAGTGATCGAGGATAAACATTAAGTTCGATGACGATATATAGAGAAATACAAAAGTTCAGTCACCACTTGGGAATACGATTGATCTAGGTTGACCAAGTTAACAACATAGACCTACCACGTAGAATTTCAGCTGGCCATGTCACAGCTTCTTCGATGAAATCCAGCAAAATAATGAACGACTATCACGTTTGAAAGTCAAGTTTAGTGATCGACACCAATGACTTAATTAACTCCACAAACAAGCAAGGGCGGACAAGGAGGGGGGCATGTGGAGTCACGTGACCCAAGCTTTTGAAGAATTTATTTATTTATTAACAAAGATCTATTTGGTATGCATTAAAATTAAAATTTTAATCTAAATCAAAGTCAACAATAAATTTTAACAACATATTTCAGGGAACACGCCATTTTTTAACTTTTATCAAAATTTACTAAAATTCTAATTTTAATCATCACCAAATAAGTGCAAAATCACAACAGGTGTGAGCCCTTTCTCTGACTCTCTCGTGACTCCCACTCTCTCTCTCTCTCGCTTTTTACCAAAATCCTAACTTTTTTAATTCTAACAAATTTGTCTTATTTCTTCACATATTACCACATCTACTACAAATCTTCACTTCCCAATCAAAAATTTCAATTAGAACCTAAATTTATGTTTTTTTCTACCAATTTGCGCTAACATTGTTGCAAAGTAATTGTCATTACGACACCATCGGTCTCACGTGCCAGTGCAATTTCAATACCACCTTCACTCGTCGGACCTTCAGACACATTCAACTTAAGTTATTTTACTTTTAAAATTGAAAGATGGCCAGTAACAAATAACAATAACTTATAATTCTAAGTTTTTTAATTTTCTTTTACCATAATTTAAAGTGATTGAGAAAATGGGTTTAGATTACATTTATAGTTTGTTTTCATCCAGTCCAATTTATGTTAAGGAATGATTTTTGAATATTATATATTGAATTGTGTCGAATTGATTTGGAATAGATTGGAATGATTTTTGAATTGTGTATATAGAATGGTTTTAAATGATTTGTCGAATTTGACTTATATTTATCGAATTGTGTTTATTTGAATTGATTATTAGTATTGAATATTGATTGTACATTTTTCCTTCAGATTACTTAAATCGATTTTTTGTATCAAATACGCTACATATTCTTTAAACGTAAATTTGTGTTTTCTTGTGATGAGCAAAATATTAATGAAAGAAATGTTAAAAATAAAATGGATGAAAATGATGAACAAAATATTAATGAAACAATGTTCCTTCAATGTAAATCTGTGTTCTCTCGAGTCAAGTATGAATAATTCAATAATCAAGAACAAAGCATTAGATCTGTATATGTTTGATTGCGTTCTTAACTCAAAATGTCTGAATTCGCCACTGCAAATTAACAAGGCACAATGCATACAAACTCCGTTAACTTTATTTATCCATCATGGTTGAACATCTTCATATTGTTGGGGACATCTTCATTCTGATGTTTCATTCAAGGATAAAGATTCTCTAAACTCATTGGTTCTTTCACTTAACAAGCCTCGAGATTTAATCAATAACGAGATAAAATTGACATTTTTTTTTTTTACTTTTTTCTGAATTGAAGATGTACAGTTTGATAATGCCACCTCAAATTTAATAGTACATATTTCTGTTAAAATGAAGTCATCTAAATGAGTAAGAGAGAGGAGTCCCATTATAGTATCTAAACGGGTTTTAACAGAGTTAGGTCGATCATTTTATGACATCTTTCAAGGAATTTACTACCTAAAGGCTAAATGTCCCACTCTTTACACGAACACTAAATATTAATAAACAAAATAATAATAAATATGTTGACTTATTTTTGTCTAAAAGTAATAAAAACGCCCTTTTCAAATTATTTTTATAATGAATATTCGTTAGGTGTGGCTTTTTACACTTTTTTCCTAGTCCTACTCCACTAATTTTTGTGGCTTGAATATAATTAAGCCACATGTAAATGATTGTGACACCATATTTTTTCTCTTATTTTTTAATTCCTGGCTAATTGCTTTTTATTCTAACATGACAACTATAAATTTATTACTATTTAATTCCTGATTGCTTTCTACTCTAAAGTGAATAGAAATTTTATCATTTTGCAATTGCAGCTATAGTTCAATTTTTTTTTTACATTCAACAGCATCAAATTTTTGCATAACCAGAAAACAGAAACAACATATACATTAAACTTCACAATATAAATACAACTGCTTCCATGCTCCGGTATGAATATATACACGATAGATAATATGTGTATGATATTTTGTTCGATACAAGCTTTTGTTTTCATCGAATGCAAGCAACAAAAATATGGGACACAGCTTCTGAAGTCGAAACAAAAATCTTCGATGGTGAAAGTTTTTATGACCTCGGCAGTAAAACAACATACTCATCTTCACTCCCAAGTAACTGAAATCATTGAGTTGGCAAGATCAGACTGCTCGAACGTCAAACTGCTATTGTAGTCCAAAGAATTTGGTGCCCCGGGAATGGCTTGTGTGAGACGAAATGGCCGCATATCTGCTTCCTTCAGCTCAGAGTAGCAGAAAGACCACAGCAACTGAAAGCACAGATTAAAAAAGCAGAAGCCACTTAGAAAATATTTCACAAATCACTGCAGTGTCCATGATTCCATAATATAACGGAATCTTATGGGTACTGATACTGTACATACCTAAATAGACTTAAGGGAGGAGTTTTTACTAAGACCAAAACCATAAAGTATAAGAAAAAGGAAATGAAAAGTAAATATGGAATTCTAGATATGAAAACGGAAAATGGTTAATCTAGATGCATCAAGTGAACTGGTGAAGCAGAAAACTGAAGTCTACAAGTCGCTTCATCAAATTTCAATTTTCAATGTACATCCTTCCCGCAAATCATTCCCAAAAATCCCAATTCAACAAGAATTAAGAGCATGTTTGGGAAGTGTTTATACGATTTTAAAATTATAAATAGATAGATACGAGTGGTGGATAAGTAGTGCTTGTAAGCCCTCAAAATGTATGGATAAAAAATGAATTAACCGATTATAATCAGTTTATAAACCTGAGCCATACATAGGTTTACTTTCGAGTTAGCCTATAATAAATTGGTTCATGTTTTAACAATGGAACTGAAATTGGAAAAATCCACAAAGGATGAAGAAATATGATTTTTACAGAAAGTTCAGCAGCTGGAGCAATGTGGCTGCTCTGCTGACATAGGTTTTTATGTAGTCAATGACTAAGAGCATGTTTGGAAGAGTTTATAAAAGGTTTAAATTATAAATAAATAGAAATGAGTGGTGGATAAGGGGGTTGTACTTGTGGGTCCCATCAAAATGTATGGATAAAAACTAGCTCGAGTGTTAATAAAAATTTTATGAACATGAGCCAAACATAGGCCAAAAAAATTGAAGCACTTCCAAATGGCCAAGCATGGTTGCAGATTCAGAAAGGAACTGTCATCGGAACTTGCACCACCTTGTATAAACTTGGTGCTGGAGGAGAGAAATCTAAAATCATATGATAATGGGCTAAAAACCTTGAATAAACTGCAAATGCATCATGTGAAAGAATCTCTTTCACAAGTTCTAAAGCATCAACAGTTCAGGTAGATGACTAAGAATATTTTAGTTCCCTCAGACTTTGTAACAGAAAAGCAAATTATGTTAAAATTTAATCGAAAAACAAAATATCACTCTAGAAACCATTTCAAGTTTATTTACGGAATCATGCTAGCCTCACCAATTTAAGTTAAAACTATTAACTTGCACCCCATAAACAGCGTTGAATCTTTAGAAACCTCATAAGAACTGACTGCCTCAACACTACATAAAACTAGTACATAAGTGAGGTAAAAAGGAAAACAAAACTAATTCATAAAGAGGTAAATAATATTTAAACTCTGATGATGTTATACATATGCAAAATATAAACTCTAATGATATTAAACATATGCGCAGAGTCATATACATACATGCTTTCTAAACATATGCAAAGAGTCACATACACATGATTTCATGCAAAATTTCAACTCAAGGCACTAGTTTTGATTCGATTCTAAGGGCTCACTGGTTTAACCATTTTGTCAAAACTAAAAACCGACTCCAAGAACCCACATGCTATATATCCTCAATAACAAAATCGGTATTACGATATGTTGGTAAGAGAATAGAAAAATACCACCTAATTAAGGAGGACGTAGAGAGTTAATAATTGAGCTTCAATGACAGGGCCTATATTTGACCCGTGCACACACGGAGCCTATATATAACATCTGATTCACCTACATGAAAATCAAGGCTAACAAGGTCTAGTACCATAACATACCCCACATCAATGCTAGTACATTATTTCAAATGACAAGCAAAGTAAGGCACCCTTTTGCAAAAAAATAAAATAAAAATAATCTGGTATATATTTGACACCTTTGCCTAAGGGCCTGCTGGGGAGTTTTTTTTTTTTTTTTTTTTTTTTTTTTTTTTTTTTTTTTTTTTTTTTTTTTTNTTAAAAAATTATACTATAATTAAAAAAATACTTATAAGTAAAATATTACTTGAAAGATAAGAAAAATTACATTATAATTAAAAATTACTTAAAAGTTAAAAAATCACTTTAATGTAAAAAAAAAAAAATTGTTATCGAATAAAAATAATACTAATTAGACAAATTCACTTATAAAATATAGAAAAGTTACTTATAAGTAAAAAAGTTCACTTAAAGTTACTTAAAAGTATAAAATTTACTTATAATTGTAAAATTTAATTGTAAGTAAAAAAATATTAATTAATTTTTAAAATTAAATATTAAGTTATATGTAAAAAAAAAATAAGTTCACTTAAAGTTATTTAAAAGTATAAAATTTACTTATAATTGTAAAATTTACTTGTACGTAAAAAAATATTAATTTAAAATATTAATTAATTTTTTAAATTAAATATTAAGTTATATGTAAAAAAAATTATCTATTAGTAAAATATCACTTATGAGTAAAAAAATTCACATAAAAGAAAATTTTACTAAAGGATATATACATAATTTTATTCCTTTAAAAAACTTTCAGAACTGGTGAATGATAAACTCTCAAGCACAGGTTGGAAAGTTTTAAAAAACGCTACTAAAACCTCTCAAAATCGGTACTTTAAAAAAGGCTCATAACCGGTACGACGAAACTCCCAAGCAGGCCCTAAGAGATCAACAGATAGAAGGTAATATAAGGAAGCAGATTTAGGATAATCCAATGGTCGAAGCTAATAAGAAAACTGCTACCTGAATTGGATCAGTGCGAAGGAAGTTCCTCTGAACTCTGCGTCCATCTGGAAATCGGACTCCAACCCTGCAAAGCAGGTTTCGATCACCCTTGGGTTCTTCAGGTAAAGGTGGATAAGCAGGCTTCTTCATTAAGCATGTTTCCTTTTTCTCTGAAATGGTTTCATCCACTTCTTTCAGGGCACCTTCGTCAGCTCCCTTAATGCATTCCATAGAAGCTGCCAATGCTCGCTGAAATGCATCTTCTTCTTCATTGCTTTCATCTGCATAAAGAACCATCTAAATTTAATTGTCATTTACACACTGTTACAATGACGTTCTATAGAGAACTAGAAAAGGGAAGGGAAAAAGAGAAGAAACACACCATATCAGGTAACAAATAACAATACAGCACATAGATTTGTATTTATTTGAAGAATAAGAAAACTCACTATGTGGCCTGGGTTAGAAAGATTCCTCTTTGGTTAACTAACCGCAGGTATATTTGACTACATCTAATCATTTACTTCACTCAAGACAAGTAAAAAGGAACAATGGAGACATATAAGAAATCTCCAGATACAATTTAAAAATGAGATACAGGTCCAAAGACTGGTGGGTACGTGTTTCTGTCTGATTTTCTGGAAAGGGTTGAAAGGTCACAAACGTAAGCAGCAAGTAACATCAAACAATCGTATCAACGTGTTACGTCTGTTAAAGCATTTGTAGTGAAGCATCCAGTGCCTTTTATCGTGGCACTAACAACAGCTACACCAAAATGTTTTAAATGGTATGTCTTCTCATCAGATGAATGGATCGTGCAAAATCATAAAGGTCAACGACTCCAGGGATTACATAGAATTCTCTCTTTTCTTAGTTGTACATAGAGTGGCACAATAATGTGACCACTGATATGCATGCACACATTTTTTTTCTATGCAATACCACGTGAGGGCTGTTAAAATTATAGAAAGATCCCTTTCTCTCAAGATCATAAAGGTTCAGGACTTAAGGGACACTTGTCATTTTTTTTGTTGTTGCAATGACATTTCAAAAGTAATTGCACAGATTTAATCTCTTCGATAATTGTTCTGTGAATACTTTTGATCTCTTTTATATAGCCGACCCCATATTACTAGGAATAAGGTAGTTTGCTCTTGTACTTCGAGGTCTATGAAACCATAGGATTTGCAAAACCAACAATGACAGGCAGTCTATGCGAAAATTAACCCATTAGCAATAAGATAATTAGAAGTTGAAACCAACCATGTAGCAAGGATGTTCAGTAATTAAAATTTTCATAATTTAGTATTTAACAAACTGCAAAACATTTTAAAAACTGTGAGATGCTGATAGTAGAATAGATTGGTTAACATATATTAGTGATATGCCTTTCCCTCCAAACTATTCCTGATATCTAGCCATATATTTGATTGTCCACTAGCTTTTCAAGCATTTTCCAATTCATACCATTTGAAATCTATAGCTCCTGTATAATGTTGAAGCTATGTGAGAGCACTAGATATTTCCAGCAGCAGCAGATTTAGACAATGATGCCAAAAAGAGAGTCTTACCAGGCATAACTTGAACATCAGAAGGTGGTGCTTGAGAACTTCCTCTTGGACGTTTATGAGACAGACTGATGTGATGATCTGACGGGCAGTTGTCCATGAATGGCAAGAGATCCTACAGAAGCAACAAAGGCTAGGGTGGATCAGCCACAAAAAATTCTAGTTCAGTGTTCATAAATTAGAAGCTTCAAATGCCCTTGAAGGGCTTAAACTTGTTTTGGTCAATAAGAAATAAAAAGATATAAACTGCTTGGGGTTCATTTACCTCCAAAAGATTTTCTGGTTGAACCATTCCAAGCCAAGAGCGCATTTTCTGACCCGTTATTGGATCAATTATCAGAATGACAGGGATAGAGTCTAATTTATAATAGGTACAAACCTTGCTGCCTTCTTCTTTATCATCATTTACCTATATGCACATGGGGTGAGTGGTAAGAATCAACGCAACAAGAGAATGCATCTAATAGGAAGTGAAAATGTACTGAAATTAAAAATTCCACCATTGACCTCCTATAAGATAACCTCTTAAGGAGAAGAAATAAGAGCAGCCTTGACAAATTTTGTTCCAGCAAACTTCACCCAGATCAAATATATGAAAAGGCAATATTACTGAATCATATTCCATTTACTCAAGTGCTTTTGTTCAAGAATGAAGTTCAAATTCTCTTTGCAGTTATTAGCATGCCCGAGAAGACCATTAAAGTGGCCAAGTAGGAAAATGCCAGTTTGCTACTTTAAGCCAGCTGTTCAGACCATTAACATGAATGTCTAAGTTATAGATTATCGCCAGAAACTTAAATCTTAAAAATAACTTTCATAATTATAGTGATTCAAAGGCCTTAAAAAGTGTATAATAGAATGTGAATGCTTTTGTTCATCATCTCAAAACGCCAAACACACATGCACATTGGGAAATCATGAACCAGCTAGGTTCACGTGTGATGGCTTGTCCAAGGTCAAAACAAGCCAATACTTATCTCTGATCGTGCTACAGTGGTGGGTCTCATTTCTCCAAATATATTCAAGTTACTGATCCAGCTGACTAGAAGACCTTTGGATGTCATCAAATATGGCAAATTATATGGGAAAATCTTAAGGAAATTGGATTTTATGTCTTCCTGGCATAAGCAAATGTACAGCATGCATATGGAGGGACCATCCTGTGACATGTGATTGATAGTTGTTAGAGACTATTTCCTAAAATAGTCTAGTAAATAAAGTTAGCCATAGTTAGCCCTAATTTCTATCCTAATATAGTATTAGTTGTTTGTATATATGTATTCACAAGTTGTCTATGAAGATATGAGAAATTACTCTTCTCTCTCTCGTGAGTAAACTTACAATAGTAAATGCTAAGAATCGTAATAATAAATACTAGTGTCATAATATTCAAAATGAAAGAGAGCATAACTAGACATGCCCATAAAAAGTGAATTGCACCAAGACCCAAACGGATTGATTGGAACAGAATAATAAGACAAACCTGCCAGAAGATGAAGTTAGTTTTGATGGTTTGAGCAACAGCTTCATTTGCCCATGTGTCACGGTTAAGCTTCAAAAGAGTCGGATAATGTAGGGTAAAATATGATCAAAATAAGAACAAGAAACGAGGGATATGTCTGTGCGTGAGGGAGGGAGATAAGGAATAAAACACTACCATGTGCGAGCTGAATTCCCTTGTGGACTGTATGTTAACCACAAGCCATTTGTTCTGCATTCTTGCAATATCTTTTGCCTACACAAATAACTCAATATTAACGGAAAGAATGCAGAAATTAAACAGTTCTTTAAGGAATTTTAAGCCAGGAGAGATCAGAAAATAACTGTCGGATAAGTTCTCGGCAAATAAATTAAAAATGTTCTCCAATACAATGTTCAAGTGGATGTTTGTTCATGTTAATGACTACTTGCAGAATATCAATCAATAATAATAAAAAAAAAAACTTTTGAGTCGACCGAAATGAACCTAAAATTACAATCATAAACAAGGACAACAACGTGAAGATGAAGCAATAAATGCTATTGTGCAAAAGAACAGAGGGGACAGAGGTATGTTTCACCAAACCAGAAAGGCAGTGTTTCCCCTTTTTTTTTTTGTCAGAGAAGAATTCAATATCAGAAGAAAAAAGATTACAGTAGTGAAGAGCAAAAGACCTCAAGTACATCAAAGCAGAACAGCAATAACAATTTACAACATCTCCCTTCAACTGCACTCTAAACCAAACTAGGATTTCTTGTAGATTTGCCGAGTTGTAATTAGGTAAGCTGTTAATTTGCCATATTGTAATTAGATTTGTTTTTCTGCATTTTGATTTTTTTTTTCTCCTTGAATCTATTCTTATTTAGTTCTAATAGTTGTGTATATATTATTTCACAATTAGAACCTGAAAGAACCAGCTTGCAAAAAATGAAATAGATTGACCCAAAAGAAGAGACCTTACCTTTTCGAAGGGCCCATGGAACATTAAAGCAAATGGTTCGCGATACAACGAAGCAAGATTATCTGGAACTCTATTGGTCACAGAGGAAGAACCTTGGTCCACTTCCCACACTCCAGGGCGTTTCATTTCCTCCTCAAAATTGCGGAACGGATCTATAGAATGAAGCTGAGTTTCACGTGACGAACCTCCCATTCTTGACGAGCTAGTGAGACAAAAGAAAACATAACAGGGTTCACCACCTCAAAGTGATATATAAGTGCATCACAAAATCACAATAAAGAAGAAAGCAGAAATATTTCTCTGCTCATTAATTTAACATCCAGACTTCATCAGGGAAGTGTTCATTATGTGTGTAAGGAAGAAGCATGTAATAAAATAGACAGATACAAACAACCTATGAGAAGATTAGACAATAAAAACAAGAATGTCTAGGTATACTAGTAAATCAGCCTATGTTTAGCTCATTTTTTATAAACTGTTTGTAAACACTCGAACCACATTTTTATAGCCATAGTTCGAAGGACCCACAAAAACTACCCACTTACCTATTTAAATTTAAACCATTTATAAACACTTCCCAGGCATGCTCTCCTCATTTAAATGGTTATAAGACTCGTGTTGAGTCTTATTTATCTTTTGGGGTCATTTTCAAGAGATTCAATGTTTAAGAAATACTCTCTTAAGGGCATAAATTGATAGAAGTTCATAGAATTTCCCACATTATTTTGACTTCTTTATAAAAAGGAAGGAAAAATTCAAAATTTCCCTAATTTTATTTCCCAAAATTCATAAAATGGGGATTTTTGTGTCCTTGCTGCGTTGAGGACATTTTCCTCGTATTCAAACTATAAAGAATATGATGATGTGCCAGACACGTGTCAAGACTTGTCTTGCAAGGGTTCGTCGAGTGTTGAAAATTTAAAAGAATATTTAAATAATAAGACATGCCATATGGCGTTGGGTCATGGATCGCAACTTAGCACAACGTTAATGTCCGTGACCATTGAAGATGAGAAGAGAGATTGGCTTGACATGTGTTTATAGTTAACCATAATGGCAGCAAGTTCGTGTGTTGAGCAGACGACCTTAGCAATTGAGTATTGGGAAGCCGCTTTACGTAGAACTTGCCTAAGGAATTAAGAAGCTTTCCACCAAGGCAGAAGACAATTAAAGTTCATTTGCTTAGGAAATGTAGGGAATGAAGGCAACATCATCAAGCAATGGCATTGCCGTGATTTCAGTATTTTACGAAGGCAATATCTTACGGAAACGGAGCGTCATTTTAAAGATGAGAACGTGAGTTATAAAAATTATAATTCATTGACCAAAAAAGGTCTATTTGTGTCATTTTAATTTTTCTTACCAAGTTTATTGTAAAAGGAGCATGATTGATGAGTAGTCATTAGCCTCTCGGAGGACCCTAAGGTTGCCCATAGAGCATTGCCATGCTCCGAAAGCTACATTAAGGATATGGTAACACCTCTAGATCGAAATGAGCTATCGAGGAAAGCACTCTAGAGGCCTCATATCCTAACCCATATGTATTAGCTATGGGTTCTAGCCTTGCCATAGATCCGTTGACTAGAAATGAGATCGTGAGACGACGACGCAAAGATGGACGAATATGTTAAGTTGTCGATATTGTGGGAAGAAGTATGCCGGCACTTCTAATTAGTTGTGGATTAGCAGCCCTACTTAGGCTAGACAGTGCCAAAGGGCATGGTGACAAGCGTTAAGCTAAAATGCCCTTAGAAAGCACAAGATTGCGTTGTAAGGCATGTGAATGACGCTCAATGTTTCGGGCAGAGCTAGGATAACTCATTTTCAGTAAGCATGCTTCTAGCTAACCGTATGTTGTGCATGAAGATGTGAGCAAGCTAAATGAGATGTGCATTGTGAATAGGCGAGCGCCTTAGCACCAAGTGCAATGCAACACAGCGTTCGGGTGTTCATGCTAGTCTGCATCGTGGGTGAAATATAAAATAGGTCATGTATAAACTCGTGATGAAAGATGATTCAAGGTAATTATAATATCCCAAAAGTTTCTATATAGTCATTGACAAAAGATAAGGGACCAAATTGATAACTTTACATAGTTGAAGGACCCAATGTGCACTTTTTGAATTTCAAATTTTAGTAAAGAAATGATCATGGAATTGCTATGTTTACATAAGGAAGAGATTATAGGATTGACGTATTTAAATTATGGAAAGTAACTTAATTTCTACTTTGATTAAATGTGAATTAGGTAACTTGACATAAAATTATGAGGATTCAATTCTTATATACATATATATACATAGCTATATAGAGTGTGTGAGTGTGAGTGTGAGTGTGAGTGTGAGTGAGTGTGTGTAGAAATCAAATGTTTAATTATATTGCAATGCCTTATTAGTAGTAATTATATATCTATTAATATAGTTAAGTGATTGATTACACTATATACGGAAAAACGTGTGGCATTAAAAAGGGAATGAATGTTGGTACCAAAAATGGGTAATGGGATCAAACCTTAGAGACCCATATTTATACCATCCATGTCACTTACACCCACACACAACTTATCTTATACTTTACATATCTCTCTCTTAACTCATCCTCCACATACACATTTTCACATTACAAAGGCAAGCACGGTGTCCAAGAAATGTTGGAATGAAAGTCTAACAAGACAATTTTCTCGATTTACCCTTATCTTCTTCCATACAACTGTAAGTGTATTAGTACAAATTGTTCTTTCAATACTTGAATTAGGGAAATTATGTTATAAATATGATGCTACGAAAATCCAAGTTATGATTATTATATAGGTCATATATATGTAAGTTCAAAGGACGAAGTTCGAATTTTAAATCCCGTGTCTTCATATATATGTTATGATTTTTCGTATTTAAATATGAGATGGAATTCGTTGTCACTCGGATTTATGACATACGTGTATATCTTAAATATTTTACAGACAAATAAAAAGGCAGGATTGTGCTTGTGCAGGTGAAAAAGGAAGAATAAATTATGTAGTTAAGGATTTTAATAATGTTCATTGTATTTTTCTTAAAACTAATTCTATATTCTCGCATTTTAAGAAAATATATATTTTTTTTTTATGAAAGTATTTTTTTACGGTACGTGTATAATGATTCCAAAAGTAAAAAAAAAAAAAAAAATTGGATCGTTCCAGTAGTCGAACAAAGTGAGACTACTATTGCAAATGTGAGAAAAATAGTCCCACTATGAGACTTAGAGAGTTGGCTCTTGGCACGTCGACAGATTCTTAAGTGCCAAAGGACTATCGTCTCCAACACAGACGCTCAGACATACCGCTCCAATAGGAGTATATGTGCATTATAGTATCCAATAATCCATACAAGCGGCATATTTCTTAGTGTGAGAGAGAGAGAGAGAGATAATATACTCATGAAGCATTGTATTATCATACAGGACCTCCCTTTTCACAGGTAAAGGAGGACGTACATCATCTCCATCAACTTGTCTCCCATTTTGATCTCCCGTATCCTTTTCGAGTCCTCTGCTTTAAACAATATAAGACAATTGAATAAGATACAGATATAAAAAGAATGAACAGGACTACACATTTAAGTTGTGTGCATGCCTTAAGTTCGAATCATGCAGAGGTACATCATTTTCCAGCTCTGGAGGATAGAAAGATGGTGCAGCAGCCCCACCTTCATTTCCTAGATAAAAAAGTTGAATAGCGTCCTCAAGTTTCCAGCTTGTGGCCTGCACCAAAAGAACTCCAACATCAAGACTAGAAAGGATTCAGCTAAGCACACTACTTTTAAGAAGTTAATCCGGTAAGGAATGGGCTGGAAACAAAAAACGCAAATAAATATTATGGAAGTATCTAAGGACCCTTTCAAACATATTGTATTTTGATATACGCAGTAAACATACTCCCTATTGCGTATAAAGAAATTTACAGTTGAAAAGAGTGCAAAGAATTATGATGTATACGCATAATGGATTCGCTTATTCAATAAATTGAACCATAGTCCTTAGTCCAAAAATGAACATCAGATTCTCCTTGTACAGCTTTTTCTAGTCACGTGTAATAATTTTTCTATTAATTTCGCTCTCTTTTCTTTTCTAATCTCTCATGTCATGATTATTTCCTCATCCACTATCATTTCATTTAAGGAATTATTGTTTTACATTCTTTTCACAGTTCCATAATAATAAGGCAATATCTTTGCTTGTTTCTTCTTAGTGGTTTCTCTCTACTTTCTCTTTCCGTTTCTAATTTCATAATTAATTTCTTCTGAACACTAATTTCAATTTAAGGAATCTTTGTTCTCGTGCTTTTTGCTGTTAAAAGTTAAATCTCACTCAACAGATCTCAGCTCCGCCAACCTACAGAACTTGATATCCAAAAGCCAAATTCAAATATTCTTTCCTTTTTTTTTTAGAACTATAGATGAGACACCTGCTCCAATAGGTTGTACCAAATGCCAAATTCAAGTACCACAGTAATTGTCCAAAAACTGATGTTCACTTCATCGGAAATAAACTAGCATTTTGTTTTAATACAAATTGGCTTCGACGATAGAAGAAGGTTGACAGCTAGAAGACAAACCTTAACCCAGCCTCTTTATTTACTGTTAATGAATCAATAAGTGCTTAACAGTAATGTAATGCATATAGACAAACTGCAAAAAGTTAATCTACTGTTGCAAGTTTACACCACTCAAAATTTTAGATGGCTAGCTATTGAAATAGTTCAAAATACAACACCATCAGAATGCATGTATCCTAAAATAAAACTGATTATTGAATTAAATGGTTCAAATCTACCATCACAAGCATCACCAATTTCCCCTCTATAAGGTTCACAGTTGTTCTCATTCATAAAATCGAACACGTGAACAAACAGAAGAGTCGTCAACACAATCATATTCCAACTAGGATTCACATACTTAATTGAGATCACATAAATAGCTAGCTCATTCCACATTTGAGTAAAGATGTAAACGATATTCAGTAGGCAAAAAATATAAGGGGAAGAACTTTTTTCCAGCTCAATCAACCATAAGCAAGAAATAATTGTCCCAGGAAACAATTATCATAATTCTTAACTTTCTAATAATTATTTTACATTAAACTCTCCATACAACAACATGGGTTATCTAAGAAAACCTAATTAATTTACATCAATAACACGGGGTGGTCCGCCTTTACGAAAGAGTCGAACTTGAATCTCCTCCTATTCTTTTTCCCACAAATTTCCACTCACTTGCACATCTATGTGGAAACAACTTGAATTAGATGGTTCCCACATCGAGAAACACAAACGTCTGGTTTAAAGAACACATCTTGGAACATAAAATTAACAATGCATATCCCATAAAACAGCAGATCACAAACAACAAATTAATTAGTAAATTACACAAGAAATTGCATATAAACACGTCTAGAGAAAAAGGGATGAACCTGAAGGAACTGACGGGCAGTATCGGCTGTTTGACCGACTGCGATTTCAAGAAAGGAAGACACCATGCTCTGCTGGTCAGTCGTAGACAAAACACCCTCCATTGATGTTTCCTTTTCTTCAAAAATTAGTCGCAAAAAACTTAAATAGCAGGATTTTTAGAAACAGAGAGAGAAATACAATAAAAAGGTGAGGGACATTACTTTGCTTGAAGTATGCATATAAGCGTTTGTGGGTTTTCATTTGGTGGATTGGGGTAGCGGATGTAATTTAGGAATCGGAGTACAATAAACGTCTCTTGAATTACCTTTATCTTTTTTAAGTAGACGTGGAAATAGGAAGTCAACTAGTCGAATCAGGCAGGTTCGCGAGCCGAAATTCTTAGTTCGGGTTCGACTCGAATAAAAATAATTTAAGCTTTTTTGTCAAAAAATCTTGGCTCGGGCCTTATCGAGTCGATAATTTAAGCAGCACACGTAGTTGCCTATATGCAGATAAAAAAATAAAAGGAATGGATAGTGTAACTCTAATTAGCTTAGTGCATTTTAGAGAAGGAATTTACTCTCCTTTCCATAAGAAATGTAGCATAAATTTTCTTTGTTATGTTACATACACTTTGTTCTTTGTAGGCTCGATTAATGAGAATTGAATAAGAATTTTTACACGGGTTGGGTGGGTTTGCTGTGTAGGCGGGTTGGATTAGGTCGGGTCGGGTTATGGGTTAACTCGTGAAAATCGAATAAACCCGCTCACCTGACCCACCTACTTAAAAAAATAATAATAATAAAATAAAATGCCTAAAAAATAAAAGGAATGGATAGTGTAACTCTAATTAGCTTAGTGCATTTTAGAGAAGGAATTTACTCTCCTTTCCATAAGAAATGTAGCATAAATTTTCTATGTTATGTTACATACACTTTGTTCTTTGTAGGCTCGATTAACGAGAATTGAATAAGATAATAGATAAATTTATTTATTTATTTACTTACTTATTATTTAATCTTGTCTATTAGAATTTAGTATAATAGACAATTTGATGACTTCAATTTTTGTTGACAAATTGTCACAAACCGATCAATCCAACCCAACTCAACCCATACTTGATTGGGTTGTGATAGGTTGGGTTTCAACCTTTACACGGGTTGAGTTGGGTTAACTTTTGATCAAACCGATCATGTTGGGTTAGGTTTGAGTTGAAACAAAAATCGACCCAACCAAACTCACGTCCACCCCTACGTGGAAATGTTTGTGATATACCCCATATAGGATCACCTATGCAAGAAGAAGAAAACGGGTGAATACATTCAAAATGTTCTCCGGCCAGGTCATTTCGGATTCCAAAAGGTTCTCCCATTCAGTTAGCAGGAGGGGCAAGTGTGTAATTAAGTTATAGAGAAGGTCTATGAATAGGATGCAGGGGGTTATGTAAATGAGGATTTTTAAATGATATTCAGTTAAAAAGAAGAGCGCAGAGCTTCTCGAATTGCCTTCAACTATCTTTCAATTTTCTGTTTTCCATTTGCCTTTCAATTCTAATAAACTTGTCATAATTAGCAACTCAATCTGCAATACACTTCCTTTACAACAATTTACAATACTATACAAGCCTTTTTACACTTTCAATTGTCTAACTACTTCCCTTGAATAGCAGCACCCAGGTACACATCTGTAACAGAGTCAAAGGTTCCTATCAAAATGATATCAGAACAATCATTCTGGCCCTGGGGTATTACATCTGATAATTTGGAAACAAAGATCGATGTACTGCAATCTCAGTTGCAGAAACGATGTAAACCCACGTAGCGACGAACTACGAAACCCACAAATAAATTGAAATCGAACCCAAGAAAACCAAAGAACCAAAGTTTTGAATTTGATTCGAAAAATAACAAATCAAAATAACCAACAAAACATAATCGGATGTTGACCCTTTTGATTGACGAGTTAGGAATCTCACCCATTTGATTTGAATGCCACGAGAACGATTTTTGATAAATCGCAAATTGTCAAACGAAAAACAATGGATTGAAAGCAATTTGCATCGCAAAATAATTCTCAATAATGTGTTATGTATTTAAATGAAGAATGAAAATCATATTTATACTAGCCCTAAAATCAAGCTAAAACCGTGCATAATATCCCAAAGATTACAAAATTACGGTAATAGTATAATGCTATTGTAATTAGGAAATCCACGAAAAATGAAAAATATCGCCTCGACTTTGGCGTATGCGACCACATGGTAGAATTGGATGCGGTCGCATGGTTCATCTGAACTTGCTCCTGGAATTCCTTGCATAACGCCATGCAGCCGCATGGTGTTTTCTACTGTGCGGTCGCATGGTAGTTGATAAGTGTATTTTATACACTTATTCGAGATTTAAAATAACAATATTTGATAGTTTTTTTCACAAAATATATCCTAAATTGTTGTATTTTAAGTTATATATGTAAAACTCAATAGTTGTGCGAGGAATTGAAAGAAATAAACAAAAAATGGTGAAAATGACAAAATTCAAAGTTTGAGGATCAAATTGCAAATTCAATAGTTTATTTGGACCACAATATGATACTTTCAAGATTTCTAGGAGACAATTGGGTGGAATTAGAATTTAAAAAAGAATGGAATATTATTACAATCAATGTCCAATCGCACAAGTTATAATATTCCATATTTTTAGTTGAAGATTGAGACCCATTTTTGGTATAATAAACGTCTGAATTGGGAAAATTTTATTTCCATCAGAGTTGTAGCACTTCAAGTTATCTTTCCAACGTATTTTGAATCACTTCAATCAGATATCAGACGAGAAACTTATGGTCAAAATACTGACTATTGTGTAAAGACAAAAAAATTCGTGCCCAAAGGCAACTTTCTTTATCCGATTAAAACTCTTTTGTAAGTCAATTTGGACGTGATTTTTCACCAATTTTCGACTACTACAAATACATAACAGCAGAATACATATTAGAGAACTCTCATGTACACAATATACTCCATTATTCATCAATTAGTATCATCAAAGAAGGAGAATTCATGGTTTTTGTGAAAGAATTGAAGGAGATTTGCAAGAATTCATTCAAGTGAAAGATTCAAACCTAATTTTTGGGCAAAGAAGAGAATGCGCAAGTGGAGATTCATCAAGAAACCATTGAAAGATTTAAGATTTCAAGATTCATCTTCATGTTCTCAATTTATCAATAATTCGGGTTAATGTCTTTTCACTTATATATGATTTTTTGCAATTTCAATATGTTATGCTGGATTTTTACATTGTTAAAGATATAGATGAACCCTTGTTTTGAAACTTTTAGTATTAATTAATTATTGACGTTAATTTGTTAGAATGCGTAAATATTTATTATGATTTAGTTTGCATTTCAATTAATTGGCTACTAGTTGAATTGTTTGTAGATTTTATTATCATCGAGAGAGGTTATAAAATCGTTAGCACATAGTAATAAATATTGCGAGGTTCGATAGAGGATAGAGATATACCTCTATGCTTTGCATGGTTCATAATGTTGTTCTAGTTTGTTAATACATTNAATTTGGAACGTCAACCAACTCGTATGATAACAAATTGTTAATTTAATTGTTAAACTAAAAATGGATGAACAACGGGGATTCTAGATCTTAGCAATACATCTCATATATTTGATAAACTCTAACTTTAATTTCTTGTACGTGATGAAGTACATATAGATTTATTATAAACTATTATTACTATTTGATTAAGGGCATTATTAACTTTAACTTAATCAAACACGTAGTTCTCGTGGGTTTGACACTTTACACACTACTATATTACTTGATCACGATCTCGTTCACTTGCGGGAAATGAAACGATCAGTAGTAAATTTGACTCCATTTTTTTTCTTTTGCAAAATTTAATGTCGTTTCCGGATTGTACTCATGGATGGAAATCCGACACCCAAGTTGAAAGTCATGCACGTTTTCATCCACGCCGATCGTTCGCTGCTTGAATCGAGTTAACCGAGTTGATCCATTTGGTTTCTTCTTTCGAGCCCAACATGAAACTTGTTCATTAGCTTGTTAATTTCGATATTTCATCCACCGTAGTTTGAGCAAGCAATCACATAGCCTCTTTCACCCACTTTGCTTTCAACCGTGTCATCGGACTTCCCTCAATAATCAAAAGATCCTTTCCCGAGCTTGATTTTGACGCACTTGACTCCGTGCTCACATCAAGAAAGGTATGGCAATACTGAATTCTGAGTTTCAGAGGGATATTAGAGGGATGATGGAGAAATTGGAAGCAATGATGCGCAAGTGGAATAGACAGGAACGAGACCGAAAAGAGAAATGGATAATGGAAAACTCGCCAGAAACTACCTTAAATTCTGAAATAGTTCCAAAGTCTGATAAGGCGGGGGCTAGTACTGTGGATCTTGAAATTTCACTAACCATCAGTGAAGCGAGTGGACGGACATTTGGAAGGAGTTCGGGGAAGCAGAGAACCACAATTGACAATTGGAATTGTGATTGTCCTTGGTGGTAATTTCACTGGTTAGGTTTCTAAAGGGAAGGGTCTTTGACCTGAACCATATTTCAAATTAGGGAAAAACTGAAGCTGCTACAATTTGTTTTGAAATGGAGGCAGTAGCTCAATATCATGAAGCAAGCAAACATATAGATGGGAGAATGTGGAAGCTCCATTGCATGCGACACCAGATGAAGTGCGGGATGGAGATTTTGTCAATAGGCTAGAGCATTTGGTTAGGGCAGAAGTCAGAATTATTAAATCAAAGGGGTTGGACCAAATTATGGATATGTCCCAAAGGGCCATAAAACAGTCCAACTCAATTTATAGCTCATATGAGACTAAAACAAACACCCACAACCCAAATTCAAGCACTCAATTTACTC